CCCAATGTGTACAAGTACCTTAACAATTGTAGGAAATAAGAGGATGATGTTTGAAAGAGACTTGTAATGAGAACTCCAACGAGTATCCCCGGGCCTTTTCAAACCAAGTTCTTGATTTAAACCCGATCCACTCACAATATCCCCTACATCCAATGCTCGAGCAACTTCTTGAGCTTGATTTTGTCGAATCATTTCTCTTCTCTTGCAAGAAACTCCAACCACATTCAATAAATTTGCAAGTATCTCAAAAATCCAACCACAACTATCATTCTTTTTAGCAACGGCAACTAGTGTTAGTTGAAGTTGATGAGCAAAACAATGTATGTAGTAGGCACTTGGAGTATCATTATTCATAATCAAAGTCCTAAGACCATTTATTTCACCTTTCATGTTGCTAGCTCCATCGTACCCTTGCCCTCTTATCATAGATGGACTCAATGAATGTTCAACAAGTAAAGACATGATTGCATCTTTAAGAGTTAAAGCGGTAGTATCACCAACATGAACAATGCCTAAAAATCGCTCCATTACCTTTCCACTATCTCTATTAACAAAGCGCAAAACAAGAGCTAGTTGTTCTTTTTGGGACACATCACTTGACTCATCGGCTAATATGGCAAAGTAATCATCACCAACTTCTTCTATTATGCACCTAGTTGTTTCTTTGGCACAACAATTAATAATGTCCTTTTGAATAGAAGGGGAAATCATTTGACAATTTTTAGGTGCATTTTCAAGAGTATGTTGTCTTACTTCCTCAACCTTTTCTCCTAACCATTTCAAAAGCTCAAGGAAATTACCCCTATTATATGACTCCCCACTTTCATCATGTCCACGAAATGCCAAACCTTGCCCCAAAAGAAATCTTAAACAAGTTAAAGATGCATTCAAGCGGATAAAATATTCACTCTTAATCACCTCACTTGCATTGTCAAACACATTCAAGATTGATTTTTTTTTTTTTTCCATCTCTTAAATTCACATATTTCTCATAAGCAAGATTATGAGCACTATTAATTCCACCAACATGCTTCTCAAATCTTTCCGGTTTATTCCATGCCCTAAACCCTCCATCAACAAATGCATCACCCCCGAATAACTATCAACTTCATTCTTGAACAAGTAACACACAATACAAAATGCGGCATCTTTTTCAATACTATACTCAAGCCAATCCCATTTCTTGAACCAATGAACACTAAAGCGACGTAAACCAGACACTTGTCTTTGAGGAAAGTCATGAGTTTTTGGTTGGCAAGGTTTTTTAAGAATATAACCCCTCCTAACTGCATTTCGTTCATTTGCGGGGTAATCCATTATGTTTATTCTTTTTCCCGGATCATGAGGAAGAAGTTCAACATCGTATACCAATTTTCCTCCAATGGTACATTACAAGTACTTGAACCACCCATTTCCATATCATCTTCTTGACTTTGAGGGGAGCTTAATGAAGGAGAGTTATTGGACTCATTTTCATGGAGTTTCTTTCTTTTAAACATGAATTGTCGAAGATCGGGTTGTTTTCTAGTAGCCTTGGATTTGTTTGAATTAGGTGAATCATTTGACATTTCCTAATTAAATTGAAAAATATATATCAATTTCCACAATTCACATCATTGCATAGAATGCATACTAATAAAACGGTAAAACCTAAGATTAAAATTGCAATTAAAATTAAAATTCAACAAAGATTGCAATTAAAATTAACAATAATTAAACAAAAATCTGGAAATTAGGGTTAACAATTGTCAATTGGGGATTTCAAATTGGGAATTTCGAATTAGGGTTAGCAAATAGCAAGACATACCATCAGTGGCGGACGGCCGAGGCTCGACGGTCAGACGGTGGTTGCCTGGTTGCACGCAGGCGGCGCCGGTGCACGCAGCTAGTGAAGAGGCTGCCGATTAGACCGAAGTGGTGCTGTGGTGACTTGGTGAACTGGTGAGTGGTGAGGAACCGAGAGCAGCGACGCAGCAGGGCGGTGGTTGCCTGGTTGGTGGAGCAGCGACGCACGCCTCGACGGTCGATCTCAGTGGAGGCAATGGCGAATTGGAGGAGTGAAGACTGAGTGTTGTTGGCTGTTCTTCGTTCTGTAGCAGTGTCGCGTTTTGCTTTTTTTTGGTTTTTTTTCACTTTTTTTTTTTTAATTTTTTTTTTAAAAATGGGGGGACAGTTGTCCCCCCATGTCACTTAATTGGGTCCGCCACTGCCCCTATGCGGGGGTGTTCATCCTTAACATTACTACGGTGGTAGCGGCGGTAGAAGTGGTGGTGGCTGCGACAGTAAATCTTTCTTTCGCCGTGACCGCGACGAAAAGGAAGTGAGCAAGTGGTGGAGATAGGCGGTGGTGGGTCGGAGGACCACGGTAGTTGACTTACGATGGAGGACTACGGTGGTGGATAGTGGCTGATTTTGGGAAGAAGGGTGGTTGGGTGGTGGAAGAGAGAGAAAGTAAGTGGGGAAGAGTGATGGAAAGTGAAGGGGTTGAGGGTTAATAAAAGGGGTAATTTTTTTTTTTTTTGAAAGGTTATAAAAGGTGTATAAGGGAAAAGGTCAATTTAATCTAGGAAAAATTGGCCACAACAACAACAATTATGAAGAAGGTGCGTGTAGTATCACAACCTTCTAAGGGTGCGGCCCACAGCACAAACTATGTAATTGGGTGCACATATTACCATAAATGACACTAATGAACTAAGGTTCCATGGAAAAAAGTGGAATCTTCATTATTTTATAATTATTTAAATTTTTTTTAACTTATATGATTTTCAATCACGCGTGACTAAATTAGTCTTTTCTTCTATTTTTTTTTAAATTTTTTATTTAAGCATTTTTTAACCTCCACCATTTAAGCGGATATCTTCAAAAAAAAATTGTGCTATTATTTTCCTTCGTTCGTTTCTTCAATTACTTTTTTCTAATATCAATCTCACATGATTGACTTAGTTTCCTTTCTTTCTCCACTTAGTCAAATACTAAATTGATAATTAAATAAAAATCATTCGAAAACCTTATTGTACCAGATTTCAGAATACATAAGTAACTTTCTAACACCAAGCCCTACAAAATGATTTAAAATACTTAATTCAAACAACAATTTTAAAATTGGATTTTAGGATATGCCAAATTGATTTTCTAGTTTTTGATGTACAACAATTTAATTGTGGAGGTTGAGAGAGAATAATTTAAAGGGAAAAAATTAATTATAATGGAAGAGGAAACTAAGTCATCAATCACATGTAAAAAAAAAAGTAATTGAAGAAACAAACGTTAGAAAATAATGGTGATAACTTTTTGAAATAATTCATTTTAATGGTGGACATTGAACAGTGTTTAAAGTAAAACAATAAATGGAAGAGAAGACTACTTAGTTACGTGAGATGGAAAATTAAGTAGAATGGAATTAAACAAAAATATACTTCCTTCATTTTTTTTTTTTACACGTTTTGACTTTAGCACTATTTACACACTCCCCTTTGACCGTGTTTTGTGGTTTATACATAATGAAAAATATAGTCATGTGAAATCTTATTAGATTCCTCACGATATATACTTTCATAATTTTTTTATTATCAGTAATTTGAGATATAAATGGTTAAAGTTATGCATTAGTAAATGTGACTAAAGAAACGTGTCAACTAAAAAAGAAATAGAAGAAGTTTATAAATAGAAAGACATTAAAAATATTTAAGATTCCACTTTTTGAAGAAATCTAAGTTTTGCCAATGTCATTTATGTTGTTATGTGCACCTAAGTGCATAGTTTGTGATGTTGAGTGCACCCTCGAAAGGTTGTATTGCTATGCGCACCTTCATCATAGTTGGTATTGTCGCGGTCAATTTTTCCTTTAATCTAATATTGGTGTTTTGAAGGTCAATCCTAGTATTTTCAATATTTTTAATTTTTTTGAGACCAAACAAACCAGCATCAAATAATTGGAAGATAAGGAATTAGTATTTTCTAACTAATGTTGGTGTTTTGAAGGTTGATCCTAGTATTTCCTAACTAATGTTGGTGTTTTGAGGGTCGAACCTAGTATTTCCTAGAATCGGGAGAAAAGGTTCAACCAACTTAGTTAGTACCCCCTCCGTATGTTTATTAAGTGTTACACTTTGACCGGCACATAATTTTAGGTAGAGGTGATCATTGGGAGGTCGGGCCTAGGTAAAAAAAAATCAGGCCACTTCTTGGGCCGGGCTGGGCCAAGCTTCGGGGCAGAATTTTTGTGCCCAAATCCGCCCAAAATGGCCGGGCCGTGCAGGCTTTTCAGGCCATATTCGGGTTGGGCAAAAAAATCAACTAAAAATGCATAAAAACGATCCCAATCCCGTCCAAAAAAATAAAATTTCGGGCCGGGCGAGCAGACCGGGCTAACTTTGATCAGGTCTAGTTTTAAGCAATTTAATTGACTAAATAAAATAAGTGGTAAGTGGGGTAGTTGGCATATTAAAGAATTGTAGAAAAAAGATAGTATGGTTTGGGTGGGGACCATAAAAGGAGAAATATATAATGAATGTGAGAAGAAAGAAGTAATAAAAAAAAGTAGCAGTGAATTTGGGTGGGGACCATGAAAGGGGAAATATATAATATTAAAATGTAGCTTTTTGCCAAAAAAAAAAAAGTGTAACATTTATCTAAACACGGCCGCATTTGGTCAATGTAACACTTATTAAAACACGGAGGGAGTAAGTAAATTGCGGGTGTCGTTTACAGAAATGCGAGAGATTGTTATATACACCCGGATATACCGTACACCCAAGGTTAGTTTTTGTTCTCATTTTAATGATTGTTTTTCATTTAATCATCAATTGAGAGCAAAAACTAACCTTGGGTGTACGGTGCACCCGATATCTATAACAAATTCCTTAAAAATGACACTAGATACATACTTTTTTATTTATCATGGAAATAAACTTGTATTTGCTCCGTGTAATTGTCATTAATCCGCATGTAGGGTGTTAGTAAGTAAAATGCGGGCGTAGTTTAGCTTTATAAAACCGAAGATAAGGTCATTCAATTTTCAAAAGGGATAGAAGCTGAGGAATAGGAGGTAGTGAGGAGTAGTGGTAGACTGGTAGTAGGAGTAAGAAAAAAGTTTGCAACAATGGCTTCAACAACCTCAAGTGTTTCTCTGTCATGGAGCAATTCTTTCCAGAGCTTTGCAGGTGCCATTAACGAACCTCAGAAATTTCCAGAAAATGGAAGAGTGGTTCTCCCAATTGTGGCACAAAAGAAAACCAAGAAGATTCGCAAGGTGATTGAATTTCTTTTTCAATATATTTATTTCAATTATTAATTTTTTTATTTGAATATTTCATAGTTTTGATTTATGGGTAATAATTATTTTTTGTAAATATTGGAATTGGGTGTGGATAATTTCGATAAATATGGCTTTATTTTTTTATGGGATTTTGGGTGTAGATAATTTTGAAGGAAGATATACCAGATTTGGGGAAAAAGGGGCAGCTTTTGGATGTAAGAGCTGGTTTTTACAGGAATTTCTTGTTGCCTTCGGGAAAGGCACAGGTTGTCACCTCATCGCTGATTAAGTAAGTTTTATACTCTGAATATTTGAATTAATGGCATTTTGCTTCATTTTATCATTTTTGAAATTCCATGCTAGCAATATACTATGCTCAATAGTTAGATGATTTTGTTGTGCTACTGTTTCGGGCCTCGAATGTTGAGGTGTTTTATGCATAGGGAGAAGATATAGCTCATCCTTGAATTTGGTGGTGATGAATTCTGTGAGCAGATTTGGGCAACTTGTTATGGTTATTGGGTTTAAATGTGTTAGTGTAATGCTCCTTGGGATTTTATCCCACTCAGTAGCTCTATACCTTAAGTCTTAGTGGCCTTAGCAATCAGGTTTATATTTTTGGTTCTGTAAAATCTCTTTACTCAGTATTACAAAATAAAAATTGCTGATAGAGATTTGTCATCGAGTCTGATAAATTCTTGTTTGAGAAACTGTGGTGGTTCTAATTTCTAAATCCACCCTACTGTATTTGGGAGCCTGGTGTTATACTCGTGATAACGTGTTTTGCCACCACCGCTAAATTTATTTCTACTAAGGTCATCAGCGTACAAATGAGTAGTTACTAGTAAAATCCAACAGTGGCAAAATTAGGGAGATGAACAATGAACCATGCAGGTCTACGAGACTATGACTAAGATTAATGACATTACATCTTAGGAAATCTGTACATAAAATGAATTCTATGGAATTCTGTGACTGAACTCTCATGTTTTCTTTCAGTCTTCTTGTTTTGGTCTCTTATTCTACTCAATTTTATCACCATTGAATAACAGTACATAGGTTTGCGTAGCCTAGTTTTTGTAGAATCACACACTCTTAAACCAATAGAGGTCACCAATTAGTCTAAAGTATGAAAATTTGATGAGAAAAATTGCTGTTTCTTACAAAGTTACAATGACAGTTGTCATATAGGACGAAGGGAGTCATAATTTGGGTGCAGTAAGGTATTTCTTGCATTTTTTTGCTTTCTGGTCAGTTCTGCACTGAAGGGTTCCCTCAGGGAGTGGGGAAGAGGTTGTTGTGGTGCTGGAATTCAATCCTTCTTGTACATGGAAATTTAACACTTAGTTAGAGAAGGGCGCAAGAAGGGAACTTCATTTGTTTTGCCTGAATCATTGAATTGCCAAACATCTCCTTTGTTTAGAAAGGTTTTTAAAACAGTACATTGGGTGGATTCTATGATCTAGGGGACAACTTGAAGGGAGATATATGGACCTCTGCATCAGTACTACATAAATCTTGCCGCTTTGAGGATATTTAGCTATTTTCTTTTTTCGTTCAAACATGTTACTAAAACATTACTTTTAGGCTTTTAGCCTACAATGGCGCATATTTATACGGTTTGCTTTTGTTGCTCAAGGGAGATGAAGATGGAGGAGGAGAGAATTGAAGCTGAGAAGAGAAGGGTGAGTAACATATTTCTTAGTAACATGTGTTGTTGTTGTTGTAACTAACTGTCTGCATTATAACGTTTGTGTAATGGACCTCTTTGTATCTTCGTTGCTTTCGTTAAAGGTGTATCTGGATTGTTCATTTATTAATTGATTATTTACCACCCATAGAAAAATAGAAATCAATGGTAGTGGATACAAACACAACTTCACTTTTCATGATAGTCAGAACTTGCTGTATAATGGCTTGTATTTTTTTGCTTTTTTGGAACTAATTAGCTGGCGTTCCTCTGTTTTGGGTTTTTGTTTTGGTTGCTCATATTTGTTTTTCAATTATCTGTTCTCATTCTTTTAATCTTTTTTAATCAGTTTGCTGGACTTTAGTGGACTACTATGTGCTACATTATCTGAACAAGGAGGGGCCTTTGCATTATGCATGACATAAGCATATACAGAATATTAATTGGATAAAGAGATGTTCTCCTCCACACTCTGGTGTGCAGTCAGGATGCTTCTCATTGAATGAAATGATACTTAATGAGCTATCCAAATTTTGGCTTTTAATCATATCCCATAAAAATAAGAAAGACTTGATTTAAAAATTGCCTCTTCATGACCATAATTCAATAATCTTATTTGAAAATCTTTGCTAGGTAAAAGAAGAGGCACAGCAGCTAGCTCGTTTGTTTGAAACTGTTGGAGCTTTCAAGGTTAAACGCAAAGGTGGTAAAGGAAAACAAATATTTGGAAGGTAACAGGAACCACATATAATGTTCTTGCCTTGCCTTCTTTGCTGTGATCTGGCACTTATTTACGAATCTGATTTTCCTGTGGTTCTGGCAGTGTGACTGCTCAAGATCTTGTTGACATTATTAAGGCACAGCTTCAAAGGTAACATTACTGTCATAATTACTGACATCCTCGTCGCTAATAAATTCTGTGATAATGAATATTGAAACAAAATTCACACTAATTGTCTTAGAAGACCACTAGTGAAGTGTTTTTAACAGTTTTCAAAATAAGTAAACATCTAACTAGGTTAAGTTAACAGAATGACTTATTTAAGTTCTTCAATGTTGATCAAGCTAATCCTTATGTTGGTTGTATACGTGTGTGTCTCAGCATTTTATATAAGCTTGATTCCTTGATCATATTGGAGGAGTTTTAAATCCCGATAATCAACAGATATGGTTAATTGTCCCCCACCCCCACCAAAACAAAAGAAGAAAAAGAAGGGAAGTAGAGCCTCAAGCTTGTAGTCATCTCTTGTGTGTTGTTCTAATTAAATGAAAATCTTATGCAAAGGCTTCGACATTTGTAAGTAAGCGCTACCTGTCTTAGAGTTAGAAACCCTAACAAATGCATAAGCTAAGCTAGTTTTATTGCTGGTGTAAGAGACCCAGCTTATTACATGGAATTGTGGAAAATAATGGACTTATGAATGGAAGCCTGAGGGCAGAGCCAGTGAGGCGGGGTTTCGGGGAGAAAATGTGATTTGCCATTTTGCCAATGCAGTCCTATTTCCTAATTTTTTTTTTTTCCTGATGAAGCGGCTATAAGTGGGCATTTAATAGAATCCTGACTCTGGACCTTAATGATGAAATGTTTAATCCCACTCATTGATATATCATATATGCTATAGAGAGTTTATAGGTTCTCAGTATCTCAACCCCCCCTCCCCTTATGTAAAATACTTCGTACTCTTTTTGAGAGTATCAATGGGGGTATGCTTAAATTTGGAACCTGGTGGTCAATGTATCTCACATTCAGTATTTATAGTAGGTATGACCAGAATATTTTGAGGTTTGTAGGTTTACGTTAATATTTAATTTTTTTTTTCAGGGATGTGGATAAAAAAATTGTTTTCCTCCCTGAGATCAGGGAAACTGGGGAGTATATAGCAGAATTAAAGCTGCATCCAGAAGTTACTGCTCAGATTCGTGTGACTGTGTTTGCCAACTAACATAAAGTTGCCTGCAGAGTATTGTATCATACAACCTTGCATTTTGATTTCATTCCAAGGTAAGCCACCATCTGGATTTCTTATGAAGAAAAGGTTACTATATTTTAGCTGTTTAAAGTTCAGATGACTGCTATAAAGTGTTCTGTTTAGCAAACTTGATAAAACAGCATAAGCTTCTTTTATACAAAAAGCTTAATTAAACTATGACTGTACAGCTCAAGAGTCAAGATTACTATTTGAAGTATAAAACCAGAAAATTCATCTTGTTTTGCTGTAAAAGGCTTTTTCATGGATCTATTGTAAATCATAAACACGCAGTGTGTCGCCTTTACATGGTTTTCATGTTTGACTTCAAATCATTTGCTCACATATGAATGTTTATTTTTTGTTTTGTCTTTTGCAGGAGAGATACAGCTGTTGTTTCAAACTGTAGATGCTCATATAATGCACCAAGCATTGTAACTTGTATGTGTTTAGATCCTTTAGCATAGCCAATTCTGTTGTTCTGTTACTCCTCTTTTTCCATAATAATTAATTTTTCTTTTTCTGTATGTTCATGCTCTCTACTTCCCTTTTGCTGCAAAATTTTACATTCTATTGGCTTTTCGAAAATAAATTTTTTTGAGACATGACATGTATTATTAGCTACAATTCCTACAGATATTTCTATAGAGCAAGTAACCCACCTTTAAGCTGTATTCAGAAGCCTATGGTGAAAGCCTTTTATATTCATAAAAGGACAATGCAAGTATAAACTTCAAGTGTATATTGACGTCTCCTACCCGTAGGATAGAAGGGTTCTGTTGCACATATTGGTTTTACCTATATCAAAATATACAGTCCTTTCAGGTTTCTAAGAATTTCTCTTAAAGTTGGATTTCTCAAAAAATCAATTTACCACGAGTGTCGACCTGTCTTGGCTTAATCCCAAAGCTTAGATGAATGAGAGCTCAAATGCAATGCCACAGTAGTCTATATTACTTTCGTATGAGAACCTAAGAATAGAGAAGCATTGATCCCAGAAATCTAATCACTATTCTATGTAAGAAAAGCTGTATACACTTATTCGTTACTACCTTCAGACTGTGCATCAAATGTTTTCACCGGCACCCAACATGAATACATGATGCCGAATTCTTTTAAGCATACTAAGGCTATGTTCAATTCATCTAATATGAACTATTTTTTTAGATATGGTCTGATTTATGATTTGAGTAAATTTAAATTTTAAAATAACAAATAAGATGGTAAATTTATATTAATGTGTACTTTTAAACTACAATTTTTTTTTATTTTTTATTTTTTTTAAATTTTACGTATTGCAAAATCTAAGGTGTTAAGCGATAAATGAACATAAATACAACGATGTGGTTTGATCTGGTATGATCATTTATAAAATAAGTAATTTTTTTGCTTAAAATAAACAATTTATACCTTTTTCCTCTCGGCTAATCCCATTTTCTCACGATCAGGACTAGAGTTTATGGCATACCTTAATATTTAGTTAAAATAATAGTAATAATTATAATTTTGTTTTAGTTAGACATACCTTAAGCTATTGAAATTCCAAGCAACAGAAATATACGAAAGGGTCATCATTGTTAAATTATGCCTGAATTTATTTAATCTCAGATAATGCTTGGCACTAGATTTTAAAGTAGAGAGATAAGTAGTTTAATTGGGTATAACCACTAAGTTACCACCATATTTTTGTGTTTGGTGGAGTTTTTAGGTACACCCTAGTGTTTTAACTAGTGTGTGTATGGAAAGCTAAATCAAAATATGTCTTGAGTGGTTTGAGTTAGTAATTTTTAATTTTTATTCTCGATTTAATACTGAATATAAATTTACTCCGAATTTAATTTTTTTCTTCTTTTTTTCGCTTTACACCCTCAAATCTTATTAATTAATCATGTGTTTAGCTACTTCAACCACTTGTTTAATCGAATATCATTTGTACGATTGACTGAAATCAAACTACAATTATTGCTATAGGTTTTCGTAAAATGTATTAGGTCAAAGATGAACATACAGACTTGAATTAGGCTATTTTTTTTCCCTATTATAGTAAGGGATGGAGGAGGAAGATTTTTATCGATGACTACAAAATAATTATATTTGGTTTATATATCCGACTCCACTTATAGAATTAAGGCTTTGATTGATTAATTGGTAATAAGGGATTTATCATGCATGACCCAATAAAAGAAACATGAAAATTTCATAAGCAGCCTGTTTCACTCTAGACCATGAAGTCCTGTGAACACTTGAACACTAGAACAAAGCAAGCAAAAGTCATAACTAATATTATTATTTTTTGACAGATATTATATTTTGTTACTGTACCGTCATGCAAAAGTATTTGTTTTCATATTTTAACCTTCCCATTGACAATTTTGAATAGGACTTGTACGTATTTATTATACACCCAACTAGCCATGCATGTACCAATTCCACTATTTGATTTTCCCAAAACTGATTTAAGCTCAGTCTCTTCTTAATTTAACAGAGCATTGAGCGTGCACCTTCGTATGTCATGTCACTTGTCTATGTTACATGTGTTGGACACGGATATGCGTTCAAGTTTCTGACTCAGCTAAATTGTGAAAGTATTTCATGATTTTAATCCAAAATCAAGTGTCGGAGTATCCAAATCTCACTGTCAGAGTATCGAGAATCCAAAACGGATATTTGAGAGGTAAAATAATTAATAAAGAGTTCATGTAACATAGGAACGTATTACACACTTGTTAGCTCATTGCTAGTGTACAACACATTGTATAAAATTAAGGTATGCTACTCAAATTCGGGTTTCCATGTCAGACAACGTGTCCAAGTGTCTGACTCGACTAGTTTGTGAAATTTTTTCCTGTTTTTTGGTTTAATGTACAAGTATCCACTTATATATATATCATACCTATATTCGAGTGTTGAGGATTTGACACAAATACTTAAGGTGAAATGAAGAGTTCAAATAAGGTGCACGATAAACACATCACAATATCAAAAATAACGTCACCTGAGGCCGAGGGTGAGAGGGGTAGCAAGGGATTTACTCATTGAGGAGGTAGTTTGCTTTTGTATGTATCAAAAGTTGATCACCTAATCGGCTAACCGTATTCTTGAAAGCTAGGCTATCTAGTAGAAAACCGCGTTCTACAAATGGCGGAGAATCCGGTTTACACAAGTGAAGATGAAAAATTAGTTGATGAATGACTTGTGTTTTGAGTCTTTTCACAACCACCAAACTAACAAACAAACCCACCTCATATTTATGTACATTGTCGTTGGGGTATTTCGGGAACATGTCTTCATCCTTAAGTAGTTGACACTTTTTTGGAAGACTTTTTTTGGGGTGTTTTTGGCGAAAATTTTGTTCATTTTTCAAAGAGGAAGTTGAGTCTTGCATTACACTTTTTCTTCACACTTAATCTGCTTCACTTCTATCTCACATTGAGCACCTTTTGAATGGAAAAACTAGTTATTGGTCGGGTCTTGGTGATGTCGTAAGTCGTTGCATATATATTTATTAAGTTATATTACTTATATATCTTTTATTTACAAGTATAGAGTAAACTACAATATAAATTTTTATTATATGTAGTTCGACATTAAAATTATTTACATTGGATGGCGTAAGTAAGAAGAACAACTTAACTTAGTTTGTCTAAACATTACGAAGAAAGTTAACATTTACTTTGTATTTACTTCTTATTGGATGTCTAATAGGCTAATAGTTAGTTAAAAAGCCTCGCTCTTAAAATTAAGGTAAGACATGCAACCCTCATCAAGAAACTTGCTGTTTTTAGTAAGTTTACAAACAAGCTACAGCTGTGCTCTTCAGTTTAGATCGTAGGTGTCATGCCATATTTTGTATGATACATTTGTACTTTCTAAACAAAACAAATTTGAAACGTTTTTTTTTTCTTTATTTTTAATTTTTATATTATCAATAGAATTGAAACTTTTTTATTCAATAACGTATACTCATTTTTACCATATGACTATAAATAATGGACGTTAAAAAATTAAAGCACCCCATTTATTCTGTTGAATAATTGATTTATTTGTATTTTTCTAAGTTTGATCCGTTTTCTCAACTTAATTGAAATATTTAATACACCCATTGGTCGGCAGTTGGTGTGTTTCTAGACCAAAATATTAAATTTTACTAAAATGAATGATTTAGCACATTATTTAATTAGTTTAATTAGTAGCAGTAACAATATTCTTTCAGCATTAACTAAGGAGAGAGTATTGACTTGAGGCATGTTTACTAATTCATTGAACTATTATGAAAGTGTCATATTGAGTATTGACTGAATATTTGTGCCTAGTGTTCAAAGTGACGAAACTGTGACAAATAGTGAAGAAAAAAATAAAAAACCTCTATCTCTCGCCGTTGTTACATGTGTCTCATTATTTTTCTTGAACTTTTTATCGATCATTACATGACCTTTTTTAATAATGTATCCTGTTTTTTTTACATTGCAATAAGATAAAAGAACGGAAAAAAAATCATATCAACTAATAAGAATATTAAGGGTCAGCGATTTGAACTTTGAGTCTTAGTGATTTGGTTATACTAGCTACTAGAAAGCTCGAACTAACTCAAACAAGATCTTGTGCTCTAAATTTCAAGTTGACTCAACTTGAGCATAAAAGCTTGAGTCATCATTTGATCTCCATCCTTTTTTCAAAGATATCATCATATTGAAAAGTATTTGGTATTGTTTTTCTTATTTCTATCAATTCTCATTCATCAAATCCCATTTACTTTATTTGATTAATACTCTATATAATATTTTAGGCAACTCGCGAGTTTTTCGAATTTTTCTTTATTTCAATATCTACTCACATCACTATATCAACTTGTTTCGGTCTCACGATCATCAAGCCATGCTCAAATTATAGTCGAGCTTAGCCACACATATACTATACTCGTCAGCTAGACACATTATCACTCCTACTATTCACGATCATATCTCAAATGTTGTTAGCTAACTTTAGTTATTATTAAGTGTTTATTATTGAGTGATAGTGGAAACCCACTACCTTGCTAATATCATATAAGTACAAAATGAGCTAACAGTGAGACAATCTAAAACAAATTGACTTGGTTAATACTACCTGTTATATGCTTATGAAGTGTTCCAAAGATTGTGCCTAGATCATGACTTCTATGTACAAGCCAAGTAAAAGGACAGATTCCAAGTCTCTTTTGCTTAATTGGGAGGCCATTAATAATACTTGAAACAAATTAAAGCATCTTAATCAATTACCAATTCAATGATTAGAGGTATGATGCATGATCACTTCTTCACGACTTTTTTAATTGATTAAAATAATACGAAGTAATAAAAAGTATTAAACAAAAAAAAAAAATAATAGTAACAAAAAGGGGCCTCTTTTTTGTTTTTTTGTTTTTTTTTTTTTTTTTTCTCCAACTACTTCAATTACATTGTAGTAATGTAAAGGGTATTAGTTATGATAAATGCTTAAATTGTCAATGGCCCGCCCATATTTGGACATCTCACGCAACAACGTGCCCACATGCTTTCTATACCTTGCCAGCATTCACTTGAAAACGTGCACATAACAAACACTTTTTGTGCTTCACCTAGTGACTGTGTCACTCACTTAACTCCTCCCCTCTCCTCACTCGATCTCTTTCGTGTTTTAATTTTTCTTTAATTTTTCTCGGGTGTACTTCTCACAAAAATATATACTTTTCAAAAACATAAAATTTTATATATCGCTATTTTTAGATACATTTAAGTACATAATAGATGATGTGTATATTACTAGATGATCGATCAAGTTTTGTTCCTTGGCTTGGCTATTAATGAGAGGCATGTGCAAAATTGTGGTGAGAGAACTAAGAACTACGTACAATAGCGTGGTTTATGATAGATAAGAATATTTAACTAAAAATTTGATGATTGATTATTCCAAATTCCAAATAATTGATTAATGCAATAATTAGTTTAGTGAGGTGATCAAGCCAAGTTGGATTGCGGGTTTAAATTCTTTATAACCGGCCTCTATCTCATGACAACTAATATTTGTGGTGGGGAACATGGGAGATGCCCATTTGTTAGTACTAGTATATACTGCATGTCCTAAAATGATGTCACTGTATTTTTCTGTTATATTATAGAGGTATTGCTAAGTTGAGGATAAGGACTTTGAGGCAGTTGCAACTTCATATTATAAAAATAATGAAAATTAAAAAAATATATATAGAAAGTGAACAATGATATTTTGTTTTTGGATTTTCTTCATTTTAATTTTGGATAAGAAAAATCTTATCTACAATATATGAAAAAAAAACTTTTAACTTGGCTATGTTATTGTCAAACAATTGAAATGAATTAGTCATTATTTACATACAGCTAATCGGGTATATAATAGAGGTTTTTTCTCATACAAAATATATAAAGAATTACTCTCGAGAAAATGATCAACCAACAAATTATTAGATAGGTGTAACATAAAGAATCCTTGACAATTTCTTGGGTTTATTACTTGATTGATAGGTTTATCTAAGCCAATCATAAGGAGATTAGTGTAATTAAGAAATTAGTGAAACTAAAAAGGAGCACTCTATAGCAAGTAGAATGCCAAGGGCTTTTAAAAAGGAGCACTCTCTATAGCAAGTAGATTACCAAGGACTATTAAAATCAACACTTTCTTGTCATCTTACACCGTTAGTTATTTCGTGTAAAATACATGTTCTTAATCATATGAGACAATCTCACAATAAAACTTGCGTCGATTGGCTAACAATTCAAGCAAAATTGCAATTAAACACTGTTACTAGCTAATTATTATTGATTTCCAAACAATTTTTTACTTGAATTTCAAGTCTTCCTCTTAATATTATTTATATAAGAAAATTAAATATAGTTTTAACTTCCTACCACATCATGGAGTACTACTACATGCAATTGCTTGATTGTACAAAACTCTTAAAATTAACCCTTATTTAATTACATTGACTAAATTGTTTCATTCCATTCTTTAGTCTTCCCCTGGCCTACATATATAAAATAATAATCAACTAGCTTAGTAAATGGGGATGGAATTTTTTTTTGTAATTTTTAATTTTTTTTCATAGGGGTATAAATTTATTAAGAAGAGAACTGAATTAATATGAAATGTTGTTGTGGTTTCTTGACATAAAAGAAGTATGTAAAGGCATGAAATTAAGTGGAAACAATTACTTAATTAATCACTCAATCAATTAATTAATCTTAAAAGCAAGAATTAAAATAAGAAAGCGGTTACTCAAGTATCATAAAAGCGGTGTGAGTTAGTAGTAGACTTGTAGTAGTAGTAGTAGAAGTAGTGTGTTAGTGTTAATGTGTGTGTGTGTGTTTTGGTGCGGCGTGCATGCATGTGGGAGGTCCCTTATACCAACTCAGCTTTCCTATCCATTTATTCTGTCACTTGCTTCGTTGATAGATGCTAACCAAACCAAACTTAACTTATGAATGAAAGAAAGAAAGACAGATAGAAAACCCTATTGGATTTTTTTAGCTTTTATTGCAATCAAAAACCAACAAAACAACCTAATCCACCACTTTCTGTTGTGGTTGTACGTCTATCTTCCTAGCTGCCCTCTCCAATCCTTACTTTCACCCAACTATCACTTACTCACTCGATCCCAACAAATAATATACTTCGTCCGTTCTTTTTACACTTTATATGGTCTTAATCACTACTTCACTACTTACTCACTCCAATCAAATCATGTATCAATTATGCCCTCTGCCACACATATCCATTACCAACTACGTCTGTTAACCGATAAAAAATAAATGTCAACTGATCTGATCTTGATAATAACAACGATATTTTGATTACATATACTTTGCATACAAATCTGAGCTACATATGTACGTAATTCCAGCTACATCTATATATCAAGCAGTATTAAAATTGAGATATATACAGTTAGGCTACTATACACACTTGAGTAAAAATAAACAATGTCTAATTAACGATGTAAAAAGTTATTATGAATTGAATGGATTGATTTTCGAATTGATTCTGATACTGCTTACGTTACGCCAAGGCAAATTAAATTTTTAAGAAAAGAAAGGAATATATATGGAGTGTACAACTTTACTCTTGAGTAAATAGGGGGGAGATAAATGGAGCAAACACCCAAAATTGGACAAGTGTGGAATACTAAAAATAAGGAAACCCAAAAAAATAATGAAATAAGATTAGTGAAAAAGAGGGAATAGAAAGTAAACTGATCCAAAAAGGAAAGATTAAGTAGATGCCCCCATCACCTCACTTTTCGTGAATGAAAGGCAACCACCAATACTAGCCACTTACTCAAAGGAAAGAATTCAAACTTGTCATCCAACCAAAAACTCAAATTATATTATTATTTTTTCATGTAATTTAACCAACTTCTAACTAAGTTAAGCAAACTCAATTAAACTCATAAAAAAAAAATAAAAAAAAATAAAAAAAAAAAAGAACTGTTGACCCAAATCATCACAAAATAAATAATCATAATTTTCTTCAATATGTATTTATAAAAATAGTATATCAAATGATCAATAATTCACAGTAAAAGTCAATAACAATAAAGTATAATCAATTATATCAATTTGTTTGTATTTCTATATTTTTATTTATTTTTGTTTTAGTAATGGCAATCCACCAAAGGAGTAGGCGTAGGAAGAACATGAACAAACTTGGTATCCATGTGATCAGCCACCTCAATATGTTGTTGTTCTTCCTGATCATCCGGAGCTGGAAGGTTTAGATCCAAGGATAGAATATTCCTTGGCCCACCCGTATCGATCACCGTCGTCGTCGTTGCGGCTGCTGCAGCAGTCGCAGTAGTACTAATTGGAGAAGTTGTCATCGTTGTCGTTGTCGTGGTCGTGGTGGTTGTTGTGGCGGCTGCTGCTCTATGTCTTCTCATATGACCACCTAAGGCTTGTCCTGATGGAAACTCGGACCCACATATCGAACACTCGTGCACCCTGGCCTTACTGGCATCATTGTTGGATTGTACAAGAAAATATTTCTTACTAGTGAATTCCGCTACATCTAGATCATCATCAACCATAAGGCTACGATCACGATCGTGGAGGACGGTGTCGTTGGTGTCCGGGGATCGGGTTGGTGGGACAACAACTGTAGGGGTGGAGGGCTTGATCTTCTTGTGACTAGTACGGTGGCCGCCTAGTGCTTGAAAAGACGGGAATGTTTTATTACATGTCTTGCACTCATATGTACTAATATTACTAGTACTTGTTGTTGTACTAGTTATATTATTGTTGTTGTTTGTTTTGGTCTTGGATTTGATAATATGGGAAACTTTTCTTTCAATCCCTTGAGCTAAAAGGATTAGACAATTAGCCATATCTTCTTCTTCGGTTGTTGTGACCTCACTCATGATATCATGCTCATCGGACGGCGATGCGCCGGAGGAGGATGAACCATAACTGTTATTATCTGAACAATTATCACCACCACGAGTAGCGGCAAGAACAACAACCGCACCACCATCGCCACCACCACCACCGCGATAACTTGAGGAAGCGGTTGCTGCAAGGAGTGATCGTTGACGCTTTGTTCGCCTTCCTTTTGTTGTGAAACTTGAGAACTCTTCTTCTGTTGATTCCATAATGAGAGAAAAAAAATTAAAATATGCTTATTTATTTTTTGAGAGAATTGGAGTGAGTGAAGGAGAGTGAAAAAGAGGGTGTGTTTGTGTGCGTGTATATATATGCAAATAGAGAGGAAAAAAAATTAAGTAGAAAGAATGGAGGGGCTTGTGAGAGTCAAAAGTTGTCCTTTTTAAGAAGAGCCCACCCCTTTTTTTTTAAAAAAAAAAAAAAAAAAAATTACCGTACATTTTTATTGATCATTTTATTTTAAAGATAATCTCGATATGTATTTTTCAAGAGCGATTATGTAAATGAGAATTAATCTCAGTCTCTCAGACATTCGATATGCCTTTTGACACTTTAATCAACTAAATTAATTTACATTTACAGTATTTTCGAACTTTATTATCACAGACAAGTTAGACACTATAAGATCGAAATCATACCACCCACTACTCCACTAGTTTTCCACAAATTAATGTGATAAATTCGAAGATCGAAGGTTAGTTTTGGCCGTATAAATAAAAGGATCGGGGTTCATAGTACGGGAAGGATCGGATGAACATAAATGAAAAATGTAAAATAGAGGGGTATAGTATAATTAAATTAAATGTGTGCGTTACCTTAACATAAAGAGGAAAGGGTGTGGGGGAGATTCTTAGTTAACTTAGGAGGGACACTTGGGTAAGTACAAAATTAAAATGACGCACTTTGAGTGCGCGTGAAGATAGACGTGATGAGTGATCGAATGGAATAGTGATCACACACGTAGTCGCCAAGGAAAGGAGTACTTCTACTACTTCTAACTTCAATTCTTTCTTTTTGCAACGTCATATATTATGACTTTGTCTTAATTAAAATCTTATTATTATTTTATTAATATTATTATTAATTAATAGTGTTATTCTTGCCTTTAACACTCAACTTAATTTAAAGAGGTAACCTTAAGTTAAGTACTTGTACTACTAGATCATTCAACTCTTCTATCTATTTGTTGGTTTCTTTTAAACCAGAAACTGATGTTTCCACTATTTTAATTTTTTTTTAATGCTTTATCGTCTTAAACTCAATTTAATATATTGGGGTTAGTTTTATTCATCATGTTAATAGAGTTTAATAACACATCTATTCTATTCTCTTAACATCTTGTTAAAAGTTTTTTTATTTTTTATTTTTTATTTTTTTTATTAGCGAATTGATTATTGAGTTTATCTGTGGTGTAGTCGTGTAGAATATGTATTAACAGTCAAAATGAGGTCGAAGAACTAAAATGTTACTCCGTAGATCACTGTAGTAGCTGGGCTAACACTCATACTCCTGTCTCCGAGGGTTTTGCTCTAAGCTAGGTTTAAGGCTTTAAGCAACCTTGGTAGAAGTAGATTGGTGTTTGTTGCGCTCTAGCCTCTAGATTCATTGATCTCTGTAATTTTTATGAAAATGGAGTACAAATTTTGAAGTCTCACTCACATGTAACTTGCAGATGGATCTTGTATTCTTGTGTACATTACGAAAACATTAAAAATAGCAAATTACAATTACGTAAAGATAGTTTCTTATAAGAAATAACAAGATAAAATGATTACACATGTTCCTATTTTTTATTATTTGTTATTGTTAATTATAAAAACCAGTTCATTAATGCAACTAAATATATAAATATTTTAAGAAGCATTCTAAATATATAAAATTACAAAGGTAGCAAATTTATATTTATAATATTTAAGTAGATCTTGCATTATAGAATAAGTCTCGTACATGTACACTTTTATCAAAGAGACAGTCTAGCCTCTTTTTTTGTTTTGTTTTTTTTGTTTTTGGGAAATTATCAATGGTACCCCCCAGGTTTTGACTTTTATCAATGGTACACATCATTAAACTTTCATTATCAGTGGTACCCCTAAACTTTTACCTAAATTACTACAGTAAGCAAGACGTTAAACAAACGTTAATTATCTTTTGTTTTAAGCGTTTTAAAGGTTAGGTTAGGTGAAAATACTTCATTGCCCCTCTCATCTAATTTTCCTCCAATCTTCCCTTCCAATTTTCCCTCCTTTTTTTCTGAAATTTGCCTACTTATACACCCTTCCTGTTTCCCCTTTAATTACATTCACGCTTTTTTTTCTTCTTTTGATTCCATATCTTCACCTTGTGGAAAATCAATGGCATCATCTGGCAGGGCTTCATCTGGCAGAGGGCTTCATCTTCAACTAGTGTATATGGAAGAGGTGATTGGTCATATGATCATATGGAAATCGAGATAAATTAAGAGCAAAATCCAACAACAAACTACACAAGTATACATATATTCATTTAAACCTAACAATTTAAACATAACAATTTAAACTAACAAAATTCAAGAAAGCACTAACCTTTAATTATCAAAAATCCACACAATGTTGCTAAAATTCCACGAATTTTGCGTCATACCAGAAGAAGAAGGGCGTCAAGGGTTTAGCAGAAGTAGAACAGGGGAGAGAGGAAGAAGATAGGTGATCGCTTTTTTTTTTTTGTACTTAATGCTGTTGGTTGGGCTTGGAGGGAGGAGTAATGAATGGGGGGCATTTTAGTCAACCAAAGTCAGACCCAAAACAAAGATAATTAACGTTTGTTTAACGACATGCTTACTGTAGTAATTTATGTAAAAGTTTAGGGGTACCATTGATAATGAAAGTTTAATGATGTGTACCATTGATAAAAGTCAAAACTTGAGGGGTACCATTGATAATTTTCCTTTTTTTTTGTTGGTCCCTTGTTAATTAATTTCATTCTTTCGATTCGTATGCTTATATTCGAAAGATTGATATATTTTGTCATTCCATATAGTTCTTCTCAACTAAACAAAAACTATTGTCTAAATCTAAGTTCACATAATAAATATAAAAAAATTCTCATACTCTACAATAAGTTAGCAGATTTTAATTTGATCTAGAAGGGGAAAAAAAAAGTGCTAGAACAATATACACCTCATTTAGCTTAGAACCAAGATATGGATTACCTTAGCTTATAAGAAGGATTTCTAAACAAAGTACAAAAATAGGCTGCAGTCCAAACAAAATTAAAAAGTCCAAGCAAATTACAAATTCACTAATGATTGACTTCTTATGCATTCCACCACCAATTTAACAATTCATTATCATTATTTAATCTTCTTATGCTTTACATCTGCACATAAAGTGATGTTAACAGTGAGGTTGAGTTGTAGCTGAGTGGAGTTCATCCTGAAATCCAAAGTATTGCCCTAAGGTCGAATATTCATGTCAAAAATGAGCCAAAGAGTTTTTTTTGTTTCAACTCATTTTAATTTATCTACGGATTGTAGTTATCTTGTCTGGAATTAGATAAAATAAGTTCAAATAAGTTGAGTTAATATAGTTAATAGTAGTTTAAATGATACAAGTTATATTAAATCAAACAGCTTAAGAGAAAATGAAATTTTTCTTTGGTTAGACCCATATTGGTCCTTGAGATAGGACATTTCAAATATTTTGTTTAAAATGTTTTGAACTTAAAATGCTCGTAAATACTAAAAGAAGGAAAATTAATAATTTGGGGCCTTCATAACGGATTTAGAGTTTGTCCATCAGAAGTAAGAGAATTTTGGGTCTTCATAACGGATTCTAAGTTTGCCCTTTAGAAAGAGCATATAAAATGAGTAAACGATCTTACCTATAGAACAAGTAATGCAACTATGCAGTTGCACGAAAGAAAATTGATTCTTGGTAGTGGAAAAACGGGTTGTTTGTGCATGATGCAAAGAGCCAAAGAGTATTGGATTGGCAAAAAAAAAAAATCCGACTATGACTGGTTTTGAGGAAGGCTCACTCAAGTACTTCCTTTTTTAAGTTGAGCAAATTATCAATACGAAGTACTATAATTTTAACAACAAAAAAAAATAGTCAACTTATATCATTTTTAAGAAGAAGAAATATTCCAAACATGCAACCTTTCAAATTGATATGGGGAAGTCTTAAATTGGAAAGGGTTGTAAACTTGTAATCATTCCTACAAAATGTGGGGCTTTTAAATAACCATAACTACACACAAGTTGCTACTCGAAAGTTTATTGAAGGTTTATGGACATTATCTTATGCATTGGCATTGGGACCCAAAACTCGTCTATATACATTTTAGGGTACCCACAATTCAAATTTAATTCAGTTTAATGGAGTTATATACATTAACTAACGAATTTAGAACAAATATTTAGTGAAATCAAAATAAAAGGTTCAAGTGCGTACAAATATTTGTTTTTTATAGTAACAAACAATTAAAAGCAGATAATATCAAATCTTAGAGAAATCTCCCAAATTTTAAAATTTAAATGGAATTAATTGACGCTACAATCTAGTAACCTACAGTTGCTCAGGTAGCTGTATTTCTAATTACTTATATACGAAGTATAAATGAAATAGTCTATAACTTAACTATAAATAAAATAAAAACTGCTTACATCATCATTGTATGTACACATGTTAATTTTTCTTAAATGGGAAACTTCTTTTTAGTTGACACGTTTTTATTTTGGATAAGTTTTGTAATATAAAATTTCTATTTTACCTTTATTAAAACAGCTTTAAATTAAATGAAATTTCCAATTTACTTTTAACTTTAACTGATTACTCCTTACGCTTCATCTACTCTTCTGATTCATCCACCCATCCCACATCAAATTCTTAGTGACTCTTCCCGTCAAAAAAAAAAAAAAGAAATCTTAGTGACTCTTGTACTCATCTTTCTCTTTCTTCTTTGTTCATCAAGTTTTTTTCACTGGTATCACCGCAACCGCCGCGTTTACCTCCACAACCACCGGCGTTACTGATTCACTGCCACTAACGACGCCGTGTGTTGCCGCTACGGCGCTACCTCACCCTCTTCTCCTGTTCCCTTGACCCTTCACTTTTGTCAACGACGTGTAACACAATTGAGATCATGGTAGTTGAATGTGGCCGGAGGTTCTAGATCTAAAACCACTATGGCAAAATTCGTTCTCCATGTCCTCAATTTTGTGAACAAGTACTCATGTGAAAGGGTGGTGGGTTCAAATTTCTCTCTCCTCTCCTTTCTTTGTTTCAAACCTGGGGATTACCAGGTTGAATTCCTTTTTTTCTTTAAGAGCTAGTAATTTAAGATCTAGATCTTTTTCTTGAAGTACATACTAGGTAATTTGCATGGATTTGGTGTTAATCTTTGATATTTTTTCACCAATTTAATTGTAGTTACGGAGCAGTGGTACTAATGGGGATAATTATACACTAGTGTTGCAAGTTGCGGTGGTTGTTTAAACAATGGGGTGCGCTGTTGAATTTGGGGTGGTGGCCGATTTAAATGACGTATTCGGCAGTGAACAGTGACTGCTATGTCAAACAGTCAAAGTTTAAAGCAGAATGGGTCAGTGACTCAGTGGGTTAATGAGAGGGTATTATTGTCTTTGCTTCCATTTACTATACCTCCTTTATATGTGTGTCAAAATGAAACGTGTCGAGTAATAAGAAACGGAGGAAGTAATTTTTTTTATATTTTTAGGCTTCTAAATTCAATATTGAGAAAATATTTATTAATAAATAAATAATTGTATGAACATCAATTAACCAAAAACTAGCTTATTAGTGATATTTCTCTTTCCAACAAGCCTCCTTTTGTGAATTGATTATTTTATACTCTTTATTGATTTTTTTTTTATTCTAAATCGTGCACGAGTGATGCGTATTTTTGACGGTTTATATCTAATGGAAGGATTTGAATGATTTTAATGGTGGAAATTTGAAAGATAGTCTTAGAAGGCAACGACTTCTAAGTTTGATTTTAGGAGCAACGATCCCAAAACCCTAGTTAACAACTAGTTTAAACCTTAACAAAGTTCTCTTCAAGAAAAAGCTCAATAATCCCAAATTATAATTCATAAAAACATCTTCTTAAAATAACTGACATACAACTAGTATATATAGGAAAAATAAATCTATCCTACTTGCCCTGCAAGCAAACTAAATAAAAACCCCTAATAATTAATTAATGAACCAAGAGAGCCCACTAATTAATTAACACAACTTTGGAAGCCCAAGGCCCCATAACTATTAAAACATTATTAAAAACTCACTTGTAAAACCCCTACTTTAAGAGTAAGGTAAAACCAAGAGAGTACCTAAATAAAGCAATAAAAATAATTATAAGAAAGGGGACTCGATTCACATTAACGAGTATTAATTTATTGTCTTTAATATTTTATTAAGCTTAGGTTTTTTTTCTTTAAATAGTACATTTTCTAATGTATTGTTGGTCAATTATCATTTCCAGGCATAAAAAATAAAAAATACAAAAATCATTTCCAGGCATTAATTTCTATGTTTATTTTATTTTTGTTTTGTTTATTATGATTCACCTCTCTCAATGATTAGAGTGCTTTCCCTTAATATTGTTGGGAAAATTTACAATTCCACAAATACAGCTACTTTTTAAAATATTTCCAATCTACTGTCCACATCAGCAATTTAATTTAATGTTTTGTATGAAACTGCTATCTCAAGTAGCGGTTTTTATGGGAAAACCGCTACTTGAAGTAGCGGTTTCCCACCTAGTATTTTGAAAAAGAAAAAAAAATTAAAGCTTTTCATTCTGACTTCCTTCTTTTCATTCTATAAGTTCTCGGGGGTTGTTAAACGACGCCCTCATTTTATCAGGTAACGCCCGCATTTAAACATGAACGGACGAACATACCCTCGCCTGTATTCCACGTTTTTCTTCCCTCTAACTCAATGTCTCTCATCCCAACAAACCACCACCAACCACCACTGACCGAGGGCGAGGTCATCGCCGAAAATTTATGCTGTGTTTTTTTGAGTGTAGGCCAAATGCCTAGTTTTTTTAAAAAAAAATCCAAGGAGAAAACGCCTAGAATTTTTGAAATTCTTAGGGAGAAACTAAAATTCTAGGCGTTTTTCCCCATGGAGTTTCGAAAATTTGAGGCGTTTATTTTCCAGTTTTTTGCGATTTTTGTTTTTATCATAATTTTTTATCCCAAACTTGAATTAAGACAAATAATATACCGTTGGAAAGCTCTGGATGTCTACTTTCCAACCCATTTAAAATCAGGTCAATATCATTTTTAGATATTAAGATATGATCAAAATAGTGCAAAGGTATCGGTTTTGGACCGATTTTAGTATTTCAGCCATATCCTAAAATCTAGAAATGATTTTAACTTGATTCCAATTGGATTAGAAAGTAGACATCTAGAGCTTTCCAACGACATATTATTTGTCTTAATTCGACTTCAGGATCAAAAGTTATGATAAAAACAAAAAAGGACAAAAAAACTGGGAAAAAAACGCCTAAACTTTTCAAAACTCCATGGGGAGAAACGCCTAGAATTTCAGTTTCTCCCTAGGAATTTCGAAAGTTCTAAGTGTTTTCTCCTAGGATTTTTAAAAAAATCTAAGCGTTTGGCCTCCATCCCCAAAAAAAAAAAAAAAAAAAAAAAAAAAAAAACACGACTTAAACTTTTGGCCCTGGTTGGTGATGGTTGGTGGTGGTCTGTTAGGATGAGAGAATGTTAATATATTGAGTTAGAGGGAAGAAAAACGTGGTATATATACGAGGGTATGTTCGTCCATTCATGTTTAAATACGGGCGTTACCCGATAAAATAAAGGCGTCATTTAGCTTTCCACTTTTCTAATTATGTCGTTATAACCAAGGAGAACCATTGCCATTATCCCTACTCAAACTATTCTCATTCAGTCTTCAAATTTTATTTTCAATTTCACATCATCTTCAAATAAAATCAAGTTTGTGGGTGGATTTTTTGGGCATGGATAATTAAAGCTTCATGGAGTAAAAACATCCCATTGAAAATGTGGAGGTACGAAACACTGAAATTGGTGGTGGGACGAAGTTCCAGCGAGTAAGGCGACGGATGGAGGTGGTCTAACACCTTGGTGAAGCGAGGTTGTCGGATTTTAGCACTGAGAAGCTAAGATCTAACACCGACTGGTCGAACAACTTCTATGTTCTCTCTCATGTTCATCCCCTTCTCTCTCTTGTTCTTCCCCTTCTCTCTCTAAAATCAAATTACTTTGATTTTTTTTCATTAATCAAATTAAGATTTGATTTTGTTTTTCATTTTTTGTGTTTGATTTGGAGGAGTATAAATAATTTTGCCTCAATTTCATCTGGTTCATTACCTTAGAATTTTTATATGGGAATGAAGTTGGATTACAGTTTTAGTCTTCTTGTACTCATTTCCTAAAATTACTTTGTAATTAATTTTTTTTTTTTCCGTATAAATTGAAAACCGCCACTTGAGTTGGCAGATTTTGCATAATTGAAAACTGCCAACTCAAGTAACGGTTTTGTGTTAAACTTTTTAAAAAAAAATTAAAAATTATACTAAATAGTGACGTGGACAGTAGATTGGGAAATTGTAAAAGTGTAGCTGTATTTATGGAATTGCTAATAGTTAGAACATTATTATGGGAAAGCACTCCAAGATTACACAAATTATACAGATTTATTGATATTAATATACCTAAAATAACAATTTTTTCTTCAAAAAAATTAAATACTCCGATTTATATTGTTCTTCCCACTTTGATCAAGTTTGCCTCACAAAAAGATTTTAAGTAGGAAGAAAAATATGAAACAAAGGAAGTGATACCTTTTATACTTCGTACTCTTTTTTCCAAATATTTATTGGTAGCACTCAAACTGAATTAGTGAAAAATTACTTAATACGGAGAACTTTGTAATTAACACAAAAGTATGGACAGTTTAGCGAATCTTAAGAACATGGGACAAAGTAGTCACGAAAAGTCTACACACTAATTTGATCATTTGACACTATAAACAAACAAATGTGCAACAAAATAGTAGTCTAATTGTATGCCAGAGTGTATAATTAAAACTGGCTGATCACGAAATATACTTCGTCTAATGTTAGCAAGACCTTGATTACTACAAGTATTAATTATAACGATATAGTTGAAATTAATCTAAAATAGTAATCTTCAACAATCAAACAAACAAGTGCGAAGTAATTAATACCGTACACGAGTACTTCTCTTAAATATCTTTTGAATATTACTTTTCCACATTTCAAAATCTAGTGTAAGAGCATTTCATTTGCTTGTGCAATGGGAGAACGTAGATTGCTTCTTATGCTCAAAAATTTTCGAAACACGCTCGCTTATAACAGTGGCGGATCCAGGATTTTCAATTCGGGGGGACAAAATGCTTAACTTACAAATAGCTTAACAAAAAATAAAAACAAAAAATAACTCAAACACACAAATTGGTTAATACTTAGTATTAAAATTTCAAAATAAAAAACATACTTAGTCATACAATTCAAAATGATGAAAAAAATTACATAAACATTACATTAAAATTACACTTTCATCCTTCGAGTCTTCATATTTTGGAAGCGTTCAACAACTTTTTCATCGAAAACTCTTAAGAAGACATCCTTCTCAATAAAAGTGACCAAACAATCATTCATAAGTTGATCACCCATGCTATTTCGCAACTTATTTTTTACACATGTCATTGCGGAAAAGACTCTTTCAACACTTGCCGTGGCAACCGGAAGAATCAACATCAACTTGATAAGCAAATGAATAAGAGGAAAAGTCTTATGCTTATTAGTTTTAACAAGCATCATAGAAAGAGAATTAAGGTCATTTAAACCTTGAAATCTTTCATCATTTAGCATATTCTCCATGAATATATCAAGTTGACATTCAAGAGTCATCAAATCAAAGCTTGAAAATTCTTCGGGATAAAAAGAGGCAAGTTTAAGTACCTTATCTTTATCAAAGGATGAGAAGTTATCTTTAGGACTTAAACAAGCCATACACATTAGTATCTCCATATTCCTCTCATTAAATCGATCATCAAGTTCTTGAAGAAGCAAATCAATCACTCTTAAAAAAATTCCAACCCGAAAATGATGTTGATTTGTTGCTTCTTCAACAAAACGTCTTGATCTTCCTTGAGGAACATAAGGAGAATCCATAGTGGGAACAACAATACCATGTTTAGCACAAAATGAAGTTACCTTGTTTAAGAGAGTATCCCATCCTTGCTCCCTCATTTTTTGCAACACTATTTTTGTGTAAGTGACAAGTTCCATGGCATTTACAATATCTTGCTCCTTTCTTTGCAAAGCAACACACAAATCATTAGTGTATCCAAAAATAGTCAACATCAAGTAAGCAATAAAAACAAAGTCAAATGACTCTAATTGTCCTAAAACAATTTGAGCTTTGAACTTATCTTCCGATACACCATGCTTCCCAATGTGTACAAGTACCTTAACAATTGTAGGAAATAAGAGGATGATGTTTGAAAGAGACTTGTAATGAGAACTCCAACGAGTATCCCCGGGCCTTTTCAAACCAAGTTCTTGATTTAAACCCGATCCACTCACAATATCCCCTACATCCAATGCTCGAGCAACTTCTTGAGCTTGATCTTGTCGAATCATTTCTCTTCTCTTGCAAGAAACTCCAACCACATTCAATAAATTTGCAAGTATCTCAAAAATCCAACCACAACTATCATTCTTTTTAGCAACGGCAACTAGTGTTAGTTGAAGTTGATGAGCAAAACAATGTATGTAGTAGGCACTTGGAGTATCATTATTCATAATCAAAGTCCTAAGACCATTTATTTCACCTTTCATGTTGCTAGCTCCATCGTACCCTTGCCCTCTTATCATAGATGGACTCAATGAATGTTCAACAAGTAAAGACATGATTGCATCTTTAAGAGTTAAAGCGGTAGTATCACCAACATGAACAATGCCTAAAAATCGCTCCATTACCTTTCCACTATCTCTATTAACAAAGCGCAAAACAAGAGCTAGTTGTTCTTTTTGGGACACATCACTTGACTCATCGGCTAATATGGCAAAGTAATCATCACCAACTTCTTCTATTATGCACCTAGTTGTTTCTTTGGCACAACAATTAATAATGTCCTTTTGAATAGAAGGGGAAATCATTTGACAATTTTTAGGTGCATTTTCAAGAGTATGTTGTCTTACTTCCTCAACCTTTTCTCCTAACCATTTCAAAAGCTCAAGGAAATTACCCCTATTATATGACTCCCCACTTTCATCATGTCCACGAAATGCCAAACCTTGCCCCAAAAGAAATCTTAAACAAGTTAAAGATGCATTCAAGCGGATAAAATATTCACTCTTAATCACCTCACTTGCATTGTCAAACACATTCAAGATTGATTTTTTTTTTCCATCTCTTAAATTCACATATTTCTCATAAGCAAGATTATGAGCACTATTAATTCCACCAACATGCTTCTCAAATCTTTCCGGTTTATTCCATGCCCTAAACCCTCCATCAACAAATGCATCACCCCCGAATAACTATCAACTTCATTCTTGAACAAGTAACACACAATACAAAATGCGGCATCTTTTTCAATACTATACTCAAGCCAATCCCATTTCTTGAACCAATGAACACTAAAGCGACGTAAACCAGACACTTGTCTTTGAGGAAAGTCATGAGTTTTTGGTTGGCAAGGTTTTTTAAGAATATAACCCCTCCTAACTGCATTTCGTTCATTTGCGGGGTAATCCATTATGTTTATTCTTTTTCCCGGATCATGAGGAAGAAGTTCAACATCGTATACCAATTTTCCTCCAATGGTACATTACAAGTACTTGAACCACCCATTTCCATATCATCTTCTTGACTTTGAGGGGAGCTTAATGAAGGAGAGTTATTGGACTCATTTTCATGGAGTTTCTTTCTTTTAAACATGAATTGTCGAAGATCGGGTTGTTTTCTAGTAGCCTTGGATTTGTTTGAATTAGGTGAATCATTTGACATTTCCTAATTAAATTGAAAAATATATATCAATTTCCACAATTCACATCATTGCATAGAATGCATACTAATAAAACGGTAAAACCTAAAATTAAAATTGCAATTAAAATTAAAATTCAACAAAGATTGCAATTAAAATTAACAATAATTAAACAAAAATCTGGAAATTAGGGTTAACAATTGTCAATTGGGGATTTCAAATTGGGAATTTCGAATTAGGGTTAGCAAATAGCAAGACATACCATCAGTGGCGGACGGCCGAGGCTCGACGGTCAGACGGTGGTTGCCTGGTTGCACGCAGGCGGCGCCGGTGCACGCAGCTAGTGAAGAGGCTGCCGATTTGCGAAGACCGAAGTGGTGCTGTGGTGACTCGGTGAACTGGTGAGTGGTGAGGAACCGAGAGCAGCGACGCAGCAGGGCGGTGGTTGCCTGGTTGGTGGAGCAGCGACGCACGCCTCGACGGTCGATCTCAGTGGAGGCAATGGCGAATTGGAGGAGTGAAGACTGAGTGTTGTTGGCTGTTCTTCGTTCTGTAGCAGTGTCGCGTTTTGCTTTTTTTTGGTTTTTTTTCACTTTTTTTTTTTAATTTTTTTTTTTTAAAAATGGGGGACAGCTGTCCCCCCATGTCACTTAATTGGGTCCGCCACTGGCTTATAACAGCGACAAGTCTCCTAACTCCTAAGTTCTAGCCATTGGAAACAGAGGGAAAAATCAACGTGCACATACACACCAACATGTGCAAATACATGCTCATAAAGAGGGAAGTTAGTGATGCAAATTGTCATCAACATTGCATCCCAACAAACTTATTATTATTTTTAGTGGTTCTGCAAAATCAGGAACCATCTTTAGCCTCAAAATACACAATCAACAGTACAGATAAAGATACATCTCCTAGATTTTAGTACAAGTAGCAAGACAAGGGAGTTTAAGGTACACACGGTACCAGCAATAGAATTCTTTAATACGGAGTACTCACGATATTCAGAGAACAGTCCAAAGACAAATTTATCAGATTACACTGGAGGAGTTAAGCCAACAACACCTGCATCAAGACAACCATTCCAAATAAGTATATGGTGGTGATTTTTCGATGCTTTACATTTTACCAGTAATATTTAAACAAATGAGTAATAACTAAAAAAGAACATAGTGGTATCTGGGGATATTTGCTTTAATCAGCTAAAAGGGTAAAGTAAGTACACCACAAGCATAAAATAACTTCGATATTTAAACATGTGTACATTATGAAGTATAAAAGAATGAAAATTTTGTCTCGAAATTATATTAGGGTGTACATATTCTCAAATGAGTCAAATTCAAGCATATAGTAGATATTGATATACCTGAGTGTTTGGATGTTCTGTACCACTAACAAGATTCCTATATTTGACAAAACTAACTGGATACGATACACTCTTATTGCCAAGCTATGCCTTTAAGAAATGGTCCATATATGTCACATTTCTGAAGGGGGAATCATTTTCCTTTTCATTTTCATACGAACTTAACGAAATAGTCAAACAAAGTAAACTTATGTGCAGCACCTAAAATGAACATAAAAGACTGATAAATCATCCTTACTAAACACTGTGAAAAGATTCTCAATCAGCAATGAGCTTAGATAAAGATTTAAGATTTAATATCACTTTTCACAATACAATATACTTAAGCAAATCTGATATCTGATGTCTTGCAATTGAGTGCTTTTTCTCTTCAGACATATTCTTCTATATCTCAATCGTCCCCCATAATACCATCAAGCAAGATTTGGATATAACTTGGCCATCTATCAAGTTTGGGTCATTATCTTCAGTCAAATTAATAAAAAAGCCTTTCAAAGAAATATACCTATAAATCATCCATTATAAAAGGTACTTACAGATGTAAAAGTAGGAACATGATGTGGCATTCATTTATAAAAAAAAAAAAAAAAAAAAAAAAAAAAAAAAAAAAAAAAAAAACCAAGATGAAAATTCCTGATTAGATGTCCTTTTTACTACAGTTAAAATATTCCAAAACAAATGCCTACCCTTAACTTATGTGCGCAATTCTCACCCTCTTCTTCACTCAAGGCCTCACTCCTTAGAAAATACACACCAATAGGTAGAACCGTAGAACCAGATCCCATCCTCAAGGTTGCCCTTTTTTCCCTACATATAATAGGACACTGAACAATAAGCATCATTATAAGGGAGCTAAGAAAGAATCAAGAATCTAGAAAATATTCTACGGAGTACCAAATAACACGTGGGATTTTCAGATCAACTGGTTCATTAAGCCAACCATTTCTATCTTGGGTTAGTTTGCTTTAGCAACTTCCTTCAGCCAATTACAACCAGTAGGACTTGCAGAAACTATCCTCATCATCTTTCTTAATATAAACCTTCATCCACATCTTAGGACCAGCTCTATACTCCACATGATACCCAATCACTATAGCACTGCATCATTTCAGACAATCTAAACGCTGTGATATCGTCATATTTGAACTCATAGACAGGATAAACATCAGTAATCAGCTGTAATAATCTTGACCATGAAGATGAATGAACATCTAGCTAATTAGTGAGGTAAATTTTAGGTTATTACATTCTTCAACTCCTTAATGTTTTTTTCAGCTATTAACTGGATGAACTCCTTGATGCTTTTTTTTTTTTTTTTTTAATTTTATTTTTATTCCGCTATTAAATGGAAAACCTCATATTCCTTTGTCAAAAGGTCAGGGAAAGATGTTTATATTAGGAATGGTAGCACTTCAAAACAAAGACTCATTCACTAGTCATACACAACAAAACAACTACTATACACTTATGCCTTGGCCAATAATCATTGATACAACTTCCAAAGTTACCTAACAACAATAAGCTGCAACACGCATGTAAGAGTTTGGCCAGATAAGCTCTCTTGATAACTAACACCATGGATTAGTTACCACTTGGGTTAAGGTAAGCATGGATGAGAAGAGATCATTTAGACTTGGACAGTTGGACTCCATTAGATTGGTCAAATGAAAAATGGCTTTATATGGAAAATCTTTTCCAGGGGAAAATGCAATTGAAAATTAAACTTCCTTGGGCTCCTTGACAGAAAGGTTAGAGAGAAAAGAAAATTGGAAATGCAGGGAATGAAAAGGGAGGAGAAAATAAGAAAAGTATGATACAGAGTGAATGTGGCACTCCTTACAAAAGGAATTGTTTTCACGCTTCGTAAAACTAGTTTCTACCCTTTACAAACCAAATAGAACCATTTTCCTGGAAAATGTAACTACAGAGTTAACACAATTTTTAACTACAGAGTAATACATAAAGAAGGGATAAGAGAGGTGGATAGGTAGTGTCCAACATAAAAACTGAAAAAGACAGATAATTCTCTACAGGACATTGTGCTTGAAAAGAAAATTTTAATCTTCAATATTATCTCTAATCTTCAGTGGGATGGGCCTTTAAAATTTGACACTTAGTCGCTTCTCAAGAATAGTAAATAATTAAAAGGACAGGCTCAAAATATAATAAAGAAATAAGAATCAATAAAGCTTCATTTAACCTTGTAGGTTCTGTCAGGATAAAATGCCTATAAGTTAGCTGTTATACACAGCTTTGGCAACTACGCAGTAATCTATATCCAAAATAGTCTTCCAATTACCTAAGCATCTACACTAACCTGTTTAGGTTATTTTGTAGAGCATGAAAAATGCTAATTAAGTTTTTTTTTTTTATTTTTTTTTTTTATGAAAGGAAGTCTTGTCTTGAAATCAGTTACAGCTTTATCAGTAAGAGATACTTCCATGGCATATCTTTTCACAAGCAATCCTCTTAAATTTTTACCCATCCACATACTGAGCACCTTAAAATACCTTCTGGGAGCACCTCATGTATTATGAAAGAGAATAAATTGATGACAAAGTTCGAAATTTATCCAATAGATCCATAGTCCTGGCTTCAAGGGAGAGCCAATGCAAACTAACTCATGATATATCTCATTTTACCAAGCAACAATACATGCACTAAAACAACTTACGGACTGGATGTGGTATTTAATAGGGTTTCATCAGAAGTATTCAACAAGGTAGATTTAGTAATTAGGTGCAGTGAAATTGGCTGCAGGGTTTAAAGAATAATTGTATCCTGCAATAACATTATACTTGCATCTAGTACTCAACTAACACAGCTCTAGAACTCAATCCTTAAGCAAAACAAACATGCAAAGCAAGTACATTTGCACAGATGAAAACATAAAAGCCAAACGAGCTTACCACAAGCCAATCTTCCACCAGCATTCCCAGTGGTCAGACTAAGTTCATGTCCACCTGCAAGCAAACAGAGACTAAAGTTAGACACAGAACCAAACTATTTTATATAAGAAAACAACCAACAAATCAACCAAGTATAAGAGATAATATACCCTTTCCAAGGTCATCCTCTAGTTCATGTACCACAAGGGCTCTACCGACAACTGAATTTAGTCCAGTCAATGGAATCTGCAAAATAAGATGATGGAAAATTCAATAAGGCAGGAACTTAAAGAAAGGGTGAAGAACTCTAATATTACAACTATATAAATGTAGCATAAGCTCTTAAATCAAGACCTGATTATCAACAATGGTAGCCTCAGCCACTCCTGCAATTTTCAATTCGCCAAAAAGTTATAATCTCTACAGACAGTTGAAGCAGCAAGAATTTCCCAGCTTCAAGCTATTCAAGGATTCCGTAAATACAACCTCATTTAAAATCTCTTACCATCTGTGTTAGCAACAATGTTTCCCAGGTCACCCGCATGCCGGACTTCATCTTCCGGAGCACCATGTGTCATTTTATTAGGATTAAAATGTGGACCTACATCAACCAAATTCAGTAGGGGTAAGATGTCAAGTAACAACCAGGGAAATGAACATCTAAACCTTAATTTTGACATAAGAGACTTGAAATTTGAAATTAAGAACCTGTAGACATGCACCCATTTGTTGTATCTCCAAACTCATGCTACACCATTTGTCCAAAAACAAAGAACAACCGCAAATATGCAAGAATTAGATACAAAAACAAGCATTACTTTAAAAAAATAATAATAAAAAAAAAAAAAAAAAAACAGATCAAATTTAGAGAGAAAGAGATGAACCAAGTGAAATCCATGCTTCCCGGGAGTAAGTCCGGTAATACGAACATTGACTGTAGTTGGACCTGAAAAGGTCAACAACAATAACCAACTCAATCCATCATCATAAACCCAAAAAAAAAAAAAAAAAAAAAAAAAAAAAAAAAAAAAAAAAAAAATCTACAATATGCAAAATATAATCAAAGTGCCAAAAACTAATAGTACAAATCAATTCAAACGACAAAAAATAATCTAGGATATGCAAAATTTCAATTCAATTTCATTAAACATCAAAATCTGATAGTGCTAATCAATTCAAACCACACAAAAAAACAAAAATGTAATAAAAAAGCAGTAAACATCAAAAAAGAAAAGTAATAATTTATTCAAACCACAAAAAAAAAAAAAAAAAAAAAAAAAAAAAAAAAAAAAATCAAATATCTGCAAAATTTCAATCGAACTGCAGTAAAAATAAGAAACTGATAGTATCAATCAATTCAAACCACAAAAAACATCTCAATCAACTTGCAGTAAACATAAAAAAGTAATAGCATTAATCAATTCAACCCCAAAAAACATTCTACAATCAAAAACGGGTATACATTAATCAATTCAACCCACAAAAAACATTCTACAATTTGCAAAATCGTAATCAAATTGCAATAAACACACAAAAACAGGTAACATTAATCAATCAATTCAACCCGCAAAAAACAATCTACAATTTGCAAAATTTCAATCAATAAACATCAAATAATGAATCGACAGCATATATTCGAGCAAAAACTGATAGTTATAGTATTATACCGTCATCTTCCTGGGTCAAAGTAACAACACCCTCAACATTGGAAGTACCCTTTAGAACAGCAACAGCTTTTTTGGTAGCAGCAACAATGGTGAGAGGTTTGAAGGTGGCGGAAGCGGAAAGAGAGAGGGATTGAGTGTGGGAAGAAAGCTTGAAAGAGACACCATTGAAGGAAGAAGATTTAAGGGAAGATGAAAGGGTGGTAGAAGAAGAAGTAGTGGGTGTGGAAGAGAAAGTAGAGAGGAGAGAGAATGTGGGATGTGAAGGCGCAGATGCAAGGATGGTGTGTGCGCCCATGGCTGCCAATGCCGCTTGCATTCAAAATGATGGAAATTTGAGGCTCTTGTTGTTGGAGACTACTATCCTTGCCAAGATAACCAATGTAATGTGTTGTGTAGGAATTACGAAAGGCTTTTTTTTTTTTTTTTTTTTTTTTTTTTTTTTAATTTATTTTCTCAAAAAAAACATCTTTTAAAACACTTTTGTTGTGAAAAACTATGGTATAATTTCTTTTTTTTTTTTTTTTTTTTTTTTGTAAAAACACGCCTAAAATCAGATTTTTTTGTGAGATAACACTTTAGACCGGTTTCATGGGATTGACCCAATTTTCCGGCTCACGTCACATGCTCGCTCAGAATTAAAACCCACCCTTTCTTTTCTCTCTCTCTTTCCTCAAAACCACCAAGACAACCGTCTAGCCAACCCCAACCGCCATCGCAGCCCACCTGAGAAAACCTATCCTCCATCACCATTCACCGCCCACCTGAGAAAACCCCTCCCTTTATTTTTCCTCTTTTCCCCCTCTAATTAGACTTTCTCTCTCCTCTGTTCTTCCTAACAACCCTCGAATTCTATCAATTGAAGGGGCAAACTCCATTGTTTTGCTCAAATTTCTGCAAAGAACCTTAATTAATCTAATTTTGAGGCATGTAAGTTGTTAAAGTTAATGAAATTGGTTGTTAATTTTTCGGTTTTTGATTTACCTTATTTTAGGGTTTTTAATTGGAGGTATGAAAGGGGGAAAAATAGCTACCAACCCTCTTTTCTCTCTATTGGTTTGTTTTAGGGTGTTAAGGGTTATTGTCAAGATGTTTGGAGTTGTTTATGAGGTGGTTAGGGGTATTTATAGAGATGTTTAGGGTTTTTTTTTTGTGTTGTTTTATGGTGGGTTTAGTGGTTTTGGAGGGTGATGGATGGTGTATGTGGTGAGTTTAGAATGATTTGGGTGTCCGATGATGGCGGCTAGGTTGGTGGGTGGTGGTGTCGGCAGTTAGGTTGGCTAGGCGGTGGTGTTGGTGTCGGCGGCTGGGTTGGCTAGGTTATGGTTTGGTGGTTTTGAGGAGAGAGAAAGTAATTGGAGGAAAAGGGGGGAAAAAGAAAGGAAGGGTTTCGGCACGTGACCTTCACGTGAGGGTCAACGTCGGGAAACCGAGTCAATCCCCCTAAAAACGGCCTAAGGTGTGTTCTCGCAACAAAATTCTGGTTTTAGGTGTGTTTTAACAAAAAAAATTAAAAAATTATAAAGTGGTTTTTCACAACAAAAGGGTTATAAAAGGTGTTATTTGACAAAATTTCCTTTTTATAACAGATAAAAGGCTTGTTTAATTCACCTTATTTTTGCTGATCTAATTTGGTCTGGTCTAATTGTCTACTTTGACCAAAATTTGACCTTATGTGTACGATAATTTATAAGGAAAAAATATATCAAGTGGGGTCTTGTTAGATTCGTAATAATGTGTACTTTATTAATGTGTAACCACTAGTAGAAAAAAGGAAATAGGCACCGGTTCAAACCCCCCTTTGCGCACCGGTTTTAATTGAACCGTTCCAGATTTGAGGGATGTCAAATCTCTGAATATTTGGCACCGGTTCAAAACCGGTGGCTATTCAAAGATTTGGCACCGGTTAACCGATGCAAAATACCCTCTTTGGCACTGGTTAACTGGTGCCAAAACCCCATGACGCGCTTTTTTTTTTTTTTTTTTTATTTCAATACAATAGGCACCGGTTTGAAGCCTGAACCGGTGCCTTTAACTGTGATTTTTTTTTTTTCCGACAATAAATAATAATATTAATACTAATACTAATAATAATAATGAGAACCTGTACATCCTGCATTAATTCTACCATTATTATATTATAATAACAATAATAATAATTATTATTATTATAATATAATAATAATAATAATAATAATAATAATAATAATAATAATTTGTAAATTGAAATAATAACAATACATAGATATTAATTAATTATCTCAAATGCAATACTAATTACAAACAATACTAATTAAAAAAAAGTGTCATAATTACAAACAATACTAATCAATAATGTAGTTAACAAGTTCAAATAGAAATGATATTTACAAATTAAATGTGATGAAGGACGCCAACATGTCTCGAACTTCATTAAGTTCTTTGCTCGTCAACAGACCTCCCTTTCGTACCTTGTAAAACTTGGAATAAACAAAAAGTATGTTAGAATTAATTACTTAGGTTATGCATGTAAAAATACATTCAGTTAGGCAAAAATTTATTACTTAGGCCTATTTAATTACTAGGATGCCTATTTCCTGCATTTCTTATCAAATGAACTCATTCTTTCTCATAACATCTCAACATTACTTAGTTATAGGCGGCTAAGGCTTGAAATCACATGAAAAGAGCAATTTAAGGGTTTTAGGACGCATTTTCCATCCAAAATGGCCCAAATAAGGCCTATTTGACTACTAGGATGCCTATTTCCTATATTTCTTGTCAAATGAACTCATGCTTTGTCATAACATGTCATTATTACTTAGTTATAGGCAGCTAAGGCTTGAAATCACATGAAAAGAGCAGTTCAAGTGTTTTAGGACGCATTTTCATCTAAAATGGTCCAAGTAAGACCTATATGACTACTAGGATGCCTATTTCTTACATTTCTTATCAAATGAACTCATTCTTTCTCATAACATGTCATTATCACTTAGTTATAGGCGGTTAAGGCTTGAAATCACATGAAAAGAGCAATTTAAGGGTTTTAGGACGCATTTTCATCCAAAATGGCCCAAATAAGGCCTATTTGACTACTAGGATGCCTATTTCCTGCATTTCTTATCAAATGAACTCATTCTTTCTCATAACATCTCAACATTACTTAGTTATAGGCGGCTAAGGCTTGAAATCACATGAAAAGAGCAATTTAAGGGTTTTAGGACGCATTTTCCATCCAAAATGGCCCAAATAAGGCCTATTTGACTACTAGGATGCCTATTTCCTACATTTCTTGTCAAATGAACTCATTCTTTGTCATAACATGTCATTATTACTTAGTTATAGGCAGCTAAGGCTTGAAATCACATGAAAAGAGCAGTTCAAGTGTTTTAGGACGCATTTTCATCTAAAATGGTCCAAGTAAGACCTATATGACTACTAGGATGCCTATTTCTTACATTTCTTATCAAATGAACTCATTCTTTCTCATAACATGTCATTATCACTTAGTTATAGGCGGTTAAGGCTTGAAATCACATGAAAAGAGCAATTTAAGGGTTTTAGGACGCATTTTCATCCAAAATGGCCCAAATAAGGCCTATTTGACTACTAGGATGCCTATTTCCTACATTTCTTATCAAATGAACTCATTCTTTCTCATAACATCTCAACATTACTTAGTTATAGGCGGCTAAGGCTTGAAATCACATGAAAAGAGCAATTTAAGGGTTTTAGGACGCATTTTCCATCCAAAATGGCCCAAATAAGGCCTATTTGACTACTAGGATGCCTATTTCCTACATTTCTTGTCAAATGAACTCATGCTTTGTCATAACATGTCATTATTACTTAGTTATAGGCAGCTAAGGCTTGAAATCACATGAAAAGAGCAGTTCAAGTGTTTTAGGACGCATTTTCATCTAAAATGGTCCAAGTAAGACCTATATGACTACTAGGATGCCTATTTCTTACATTTCTTATCAAATGAACTCATTCTTTCTCATAACATGTCATTATCACTTAGTTATAGGCGGTTAAGGCTTGAAATCACATGAAAAGAGCAATTAAAGGGTTTTAGGACGCATTTTCATCCAAAATGGCCCAAATAAGGCCTATTTGACTACTAGGATGCCTATTTCCTACATTTTTTTATCAAATGAACTCATTCTTTCTCGTAACATGTCATTATTACTTAGTTATAGGCGGTTAACGCTTGAAATCACATGAATAGAGCATTTCAAGTGTTTTAGGGCGCATTTTGATCCAAAATGGCCCAAATAAGGCCTATATGACTACTAGGATGCCTATTTCCTACATTTCTTGTCAAATGAACTCATTCTCTCTCATAACATGTCATTTTTACTTAGTTATAGGCGGCTAAGGCTTGAAATCACATGAAAAGAGCAATTTAAGGGTTTTAGGAAGCATTTTCATCCAAAATGGCCTAAATAAGGCCTATATGACTACTAGGATGCCTATTTCCTACATTTCTTGTCAAATGAACTCATTCTTTCTCATAACATGTCAACATTACTTAGTTATAGGCAGCTAAGGCTTGAAATCACATGAAAAGAACAATTTAAGGGTTTTAGGAAGCATTTTCATCCAAAATGACCCAAATAAGGCCTATATGACTACTAGGATGCCTATTTCCTACATTTCTTATCAAATGAACTCATTCTCTCTCATAACATGTCATTTTTACTTAGTTATAGGCGGCTAAGACTTGAAATCACATGAAAAGAGCAATTTAAGGGTTTTAGGAAGCATTTTCATCCAAAATGGCCTAAATAAGGCCTATATGACTACTAGGATGCCTATTTCCTACATTTCTTGTCAAATGAACTCATTCTTTCTCATAACATGTCATTTTTAGTTAGTTATAGGCGGTTAACGCTTGAAATCACATGAATAGAGCAGTTCAAGTGTTTTAGGACGCATTTTCATCCAAAATGGCCCAAGTAAGGCCTATATGACTACTAGGATGCCTATTTCCTGCATTTCTTATCAAATCACATGTTACGAGCAAATAAACTAAGTCAATGGCATACCTCATCAAGCTGTAGTGTATCTGTACAACGACTCACTATGTCAAACATGAATCTCATTACGTATAGGCCACAATCAACTCCGTTATCTTGTTATGTGCACTAGCATCGGAACAAAGTACATGAATCAAACATGCATAGCAAATTAGTAAAATTTTACGCATTGTTTATTACGAAATTCACAATATCATGTGGCATTACCATCGGTGATTTCCATGTGTGACCTTGAGGAGCTCGACAATTTATCTTCTTCATTACACTATAGAAAAGTAAGTTCAAATTTGATTAGTTTGACTAATAAATGAGTTAGGTAATGATAATCAACACCAGATAGCTTTATTTACTTTTGCAGTGTGGACTTCACGAGGAGTTTTTTTGGATGAGGCAATCGAGCTGAATCGAAAAGGAAGATTGTGTTACTGGAAACACAAATCACCACCAGGGTCCAATGCAAACTACATAAATTCACAATAGACAAACAAATCAATAATTAGCCATGTACAACATATAATCAGGGGAAACAAATGAATTTGACATGATTAGACGTACTCCTCATAACATGGGGCGAATATGAACTTGTCCCCCGCACGCACTGATTACTTGATACTCCGTTCAACATAGTACAACACGTCGGGGGGTTGCCTAAGATTCTAGTAGTGGAGATCTGCTCGGGGCATAACCACCCAACTTGACACGGAGAATCAATGTCACGTAAGTGCTCCTGTAGTGCTCTGCATGCATGATAGTAGAATATTAATGGAAAAATAAACGACAATCACCACTAATCTGAATAACATAATTTGCTTGGCATTAAATTACCTCATGAATGTTTGAATGAGGGAAATGTTAAGCATTGAACCACTTAGAAATTTCTACACATATTCTTTGTTGAGCCATGCAATTGCATCGTCATCATAGTGGAACAATGTCTTAGGTAGTGCAACTTCAATGGGAGTGTCACTAGGCAGCATACTAACACGGTTGTGTAGATAAGTTAAATCTTTAGAGAGCGATTGAAGGACCGTGTCTGCAACAAGTGGAGTAGCTTGCATAACTGAACCTCTCGAAGAGTTCTTCTTCGACGCTTTTTCACTCTCCGACCGTTGTTCACTCCTCTTCTTTGGCACTGGTTAATTGATGCTTTTAGGCTGATCCACCCTCCTCTTTGAAGTTTGGCTTTTCTTCGAAATCTAATAACACAAATCACGCAATTGGTTAGAAAATAAATCCATCCAACTCTTGGGAAGACAACCGGGCATAGAGTAAAGAGTGAACCCAAAATCATACCACGTTGATCAACCTTACCCAAGCACATGGCCATTGCACAAAGCTAACTTTTGCTTCCCAGAGTGTAGTAATCCCATCCTCCTCTATGGGCACCAGTACTCGGATGTTCTCGAACCCCGCAACCACAGAATTGATCTGTGGCCTAAGCGGTCGCGAATGGACCGTACCACTGGTCAGTTGTGCACTAGCATACGCAACCAACTGCAAAGGTCCACTGTTTGATAGCCCCGGGTGTAGAAGTGCACAACGGGTCTCTTCCTACACCAATTTGGAAGAAATTTCATTAGCAAAACTCCACAAATAAGCAAATAGAAACTGCTTTGCACAGCCACAAACAACAGCAACACACAACACATAAACAACAACACACATAACAACAACACACAGCAACACACACAGCCACAAACAACAGCAACACACAACAACACACACAGCAGACAGCAGCACAGAAACAGCAGGCAGACAGCATGACAGCAGCAGGCAGGCAGACAGTAGCAGCACTCAAACAGCAACTGAAACAGCAACACAACAGCCAGCAAACACAAAAACAACAACACTAAAACAGAAAACAGCAACATAGCAGTAGCCAACAAACACAGAAACAGAAATAAACACAGCAGCCAGCAAACACAGAAACAAAAACAAAAACAGCAGCACAGAAACAGAAACAGCAGCAGCACAACAACAACAGAAACAGCACAACAGCAAGCAACACAACAGATTAGAAGCAGACAGCAGACAGCAGTAGGTAGAAGCAGACAGCAGCAGACTGTAGCAGACAGCGGTAGCAGACAGAAGCAGTAGACAGAAGCATGCAGACATAGGCACACAGCATACAGGCAGGGGCAGACACAGCAAGCAGAGGCAGACACAGCAGACAACAGCAAAACAGAAACAGCAAGCACAACAATAGCACAACAAAACACAGCAGCCTTGCAAACCAACAGCCAACCGAAAACAGAAACGAAGAAACATCGAGCTATCTTATCAAGTCAACGTTTAAAACAAGTTGATTTAGAGCTGACTACCCTAGTGAAAGATTAGTTTAAAATTAAAATGCAATTAAAAGTCATTTTTTCTCTATATTTATCGAGCTATCTTATCAAGTCAACGTTTGTCAATTCTATAGTAATTAATACTATCACCCAGCAGCATAGACAACAGTACGACTATGGTCACTCTCTCAAACACCTCCAATATAAGTGAGAACATTTACATAGAACTAAACAACTCACCTGTAAATCTGGAAATTCATGAGATGTTGGATTATGAATCTCCCTCGAGTCCGCATGTGTAGGGTACCAACCTGCAATAGTAAATTAATAATGCCGCCTTAGATCTCACGTAACTCAATATGCAAAAACTAATAGATATGAGACGACCTCATGTATCTCATCATCGTCTCCATGTATCTCATCTTCTCCTTGATCGTGTGGGTGACTACATGAGTCGACCGGTGCAGTCGAGGGGAAAGGCAAGCCCAGCAAGTTCATTTGCTTCACCCAAGCATTGAATCGCATCTCGTTGCGCACTTGTTCCTTAATTGATGTCACCGTGGCATCCAAGTCATATGGTGAGTTCACACTTACTCGGGATCTTCCTGATTTGGTATATTTTGGACCCATCACCTTTTCCCATCCTAGCAAGGTCCCTCCCGCACCTAATACCCGTCTTGGATGGTAGGGTTTTCCCAAAGCCAAGGTGAAAGGGTCCTTCTCTACTATTGGGACGAGCTTGCGTTCAACCAGTTCTTTAGTGTACTCAAACTGTAGTAAAAACAAAAAGGCAACATGAATATAATTAATGTTTTAGTAAAGTGATATTTATGCAAAAGCTTTATAAAGTTCACTAGTTCATAGTTGCTTACGAGTTTATCTGCCATTCTTTGGTTTCCGGAGCCTTGATAACCCATTTTCTTGTCACGCGAATGTAGAGAGCAAATGAAATCGCCAGCATGACTCACCAACGTAGTGGTCGTGGAATCAGAGGGTTCTTTAGAGGACCCTAGAAGCGAAGTGGGGTAAACTCCATCCTTGACCCACGTTTCCCTCCATTCACCAAATGTCTTACACGCCATACGATGGGTGTATTGCCTCTGCAATGCATTTTTGAATTTTGCTCCCTCAGTTCCTACATAATTAGAAATGTTAGTATCATTACTTCAAAAAGAGTTAATATATTATACAATTGTCATCAGATTTACTTAAACTTACAATTGCTTCCTTTTTACTTTTTTGAAGAACGAAAGCTTCCCAATTATCCTTCAATACGCTTGGCCATTTTTGCCATGGGAGTTGCTCTTCCTCGATGACTTCATCATCATTGCCACCTCCTTTCTTGTTCTTTGGTTTTCTCACCCTTGTCTTTGTGATCCACGTACGAACTAAGGTGGTCTTGAAGCCTCTGAATCTTTGCGCTAGTAAAGATTCAAACACCCTTCGCTTGGCGGCATCATTAGGAATGTTAAACAGACTCTACAAGCACAAATAAAAACGATTAATAGTTTCCCCTTTTAAATAACAATAAAGTGAAGGTACTTATAATTGTGTGCAAACAAAACACTTGCCCTTGTATCATTCCAAAATGTGTCAATCAAGCCAGGAGATACTTCCCGCTCACCAAGAGTAATGGGGATTTTGCGCGCACAAATGCCAACGTGAACAGCATATTGACGACGCCATTTGCCTGTAGGTTGGCCTGCCTTGTCATACTCCAGGACCATGGGACCGACGGGTTTCTTGAAACTTGTCGTCAGACCCCTCGCCTTTTTCTTAGCCGGTGCCTTCACCCCCCCTCCACTTTGTCCGTGGCTTTGAGTGTGGGAAGTAGGGTTCTCACCAATCGACTCAGAAACTGCATTGTCAATAGGAGGCGCTTGTTCAGCTGAAATTTCAAAGTCATCAAGCCTACGCTTCAACTCATCCTGAGCCTGATTCTGCCTTACCCTAATCAGGCTCCTTGTTCACATCATACAGCTCGCCCTCATCCTCAGTGAAATCATCATCATCATCCTCTACATCCTCGACACAAATACGGTCCTGATCGTCCGCCATGAGATGTAAACACCTGCCATTACAAACATAACACGTTATTAGTTGTAATATAAATAAATTTGAAAGGTAAAGTTATAATCAAATATAAATTGCTGAATTATAATACAAATCAACATAGAAAATGGGTAAGTGTAGGTCGTTTTTATTCCATATTTCAAATGTTTTAAAAGTTACTTCATTCATTTAAAAGAAAATGTGAAAAATGGGCAAGTAAGTTAACACTTTCATTCATTTTCACCTAACCTGTGATTTAATAATACTTTTAACGCCTACAATTTCAAAATTGCTGAAAAATATTACCCCAATCTAATATTCCTTAGTTGTGGTCTGATCGCATATAATTGGCTTGGTTGTCTATGTCATTTGTTACAACAGGTCTAGGAACAGTGAAAGGTGCCGAGTCATCAAACGCATCATATTCTTCCTCATTCTCGACATCTCCAATGCCTAGGATTCTTCTTTTGCCGGCTAACACAATAGACCATTTTGAATCGGGTGGGTCAGTTACGTAAAACACTTGCTTAGCTTGAGATGCAAGGATGAATGGTTCCGCACTATCATTCAGATGACCAAGATCTACAAGAGTAAAGTCATCATATTTGACGTTATGCCTGATATTATCAACTCACTTACACTGAAAAAGAGCAACCGTGAAGTTACAAATAATCAAGCTCCCATATTTCTTGAATTCGACCATAGTATGACAACTCTGCATCAACGGGTGATTTATCCTTAGCACTTGCAAACTCCCTTGACGATGCCACAAGCGTTACACCACTGTTTTGGGTCAAGGAAGATTTCAAATCTTGACGCTCAGTCCAAAAAGTGTACCCATTTATGTCATATCCGTCAAATGAGCGAACATCATCTCTAGGACCATAAGCAAGCCACCTTACTGTATCAGTGACACTCTCATCCATTTTACCCATCACTCGTTCACGAAACCAACTCACAAACCTCTTATTATGCAACTGCATCAATGCCCTTTCACCTTTCGATGGGAATTCATCACGCAAACTAGCCATGTGCTCATCTAAGTATGGGTGAACATCTGCAACATGGTGCAACACATATAGGTGTGCTTGTAAGAACTTATCTCGGTCAGGTGTCATTCGTTTCGACTCGATTGTGCCCTGACCATCAAGTCTCCCTTCATGTCGAGAAGTAGGAAGACCAATAGGTTCAGCAACGGCTATATAGTCGGCCACAAAATTACCAATCTCTTCACCCACGGTCCCTTAAATCATACTTCCTTCCGGGTGAGCCCGATTCCTTACGTTATTTTGCAATGTACCCATGTGTCTTTCAAAAGGATAGCACCACCTCATGAACACTAGACCGCACAACTTAATCTCACGCACCAAATGAAGAATAAGATGCACCATTATGTCAAAAAATGAGGGTGGGAAGTACATCTCAAATTTGCACAAAGTCACAACCACATCCGCCTGCAAAGCATCAAGTGTACAAGGATCAAGCACTTTGCTGTATATTGTATTGAAAAATGAACAGAGACTTGTAATAACTTTCCTCACGTGCTTTAGTAAAATACCACGTATTGCAATTGGTAGGAATACTTGCATCAGAACATGACAATCATGAGATTTCATACTTGTCAGCTTCAATTCTCCATTTAAGGACACAAATCTTTTCATGTTAGATGCGTACCCTGATGAAACCTTAATGTCGTACAGACATGCACAAAACATCCGTTTTTCTACCCTTGACAATGTGTAGCAAGCCGGAGGTAAATAAGCCTTGTCATCCTTGGCTTTTCCCTCATATTTCTTCTTTGACGCATCCGTGGCCTTTTCCTTTACCTTGCTCTTCCCCTTTCCTTTTTTCGAACTCATTTCATTTTTCGTTTCCTCTTCTTTTCCCTTTCTAACCTTTTCCTGAGCCCACAATTCTGGACGAACCCTCATCTTTTTCAAATCTTACCGTGCACCCTTACCGTCCTTTGTTTTGCCTTGAATATTCATCAGCATTCCCACAAGAGCATCACACACATTCTTCTCTATATGCATTACATCAAGACAGTGCCTAACGTCATGTTTTTTCCGGTACGGAAGCTTCCAAAAGATTGATTCTTTTTTAAAGAGAGCAGTTGAGTCCGCAGCTTTTTCTGTTTTCCCAAATACTGTTCGTATACCCTTAACTCGAGCATAAACCTCATCACCAGTCAACGGCCTAGGCGCAGTCCCCTCTTCCACTGTCCCATCGAAAGCCTTTTTCTGCCTACGGTACGGGTTATCGCGCCTGAGCAACCTTCTGGTCCCACGTACACCTCTTTGTGAGAATGATCAAGGCGAATGCTTGGTGTGTCATCAATACAAATGGGACATGCTGTTTTTCCTTTGTTCTTGTACCCAAACAAGTTGCCATATGCAGAAAAATCATTAACGGTCCACATAAGAGCTGCACGCAATGTGAACATCTTATTCTTATGAGCATAAAAAACGAGAACCCCTTCGTCCCACATCTTTCTCAAATCGTCAACAAGTGGCGCAAGATAAACATCTAAGTCGTTTTCAGGTTGCCTTGGCCCCGTTATCAATAGTGAAAGCATTACGTATTTCCGTTTCATGCACAACCAAGGAGGCAAATTGTAGATCACTAAAAGTACCGGTCATGTGCTGTGTTGGGTACTAAGAGTGCCAAATGGATTCATCCCATCCGTGCATAACCCAAGCCTTAAATTTCTAACTTCATCACCAAATTCCCCAAACTTCATATCAATGTTCTTCCAATGCGGGGAGTCGGTTGGATGCTTCAACATTCTGTTCTTCTTTCTTCCCTCTGCATGCCAACTCAAGTTTTTAGCGTCTTTTGGTGTTGAGAATAGACGCTTAAACCTTGGAATAATGGGAAGATACCACAACACCTTAGCAGAAGATCCCTTCGTACCAGCATTGCAACTCATGCGCTTGTAGCGCGACTTCTTGCATCGTGGATACTCCTCCAATTGTTCATATTCATTTCGATAAAAAATACAATCATTAGGACATGCATGTATCTTCTTATACTCCAAACCAAATGGACACATGAGCTTCTTTGCGTAATAGTAAGACTTAGGAATTTCATTGCCGTCAGGCAACATCTCACTTAACGCGGTCAACAAAGAAGTAAAACTATTGTCCGTCCACCCATGCTTCGACTTAATGTTAAAAAGTATTAGCACGGCTTTTAGTTTGGAGTATTTTTTGCACCCAGGATACAAAGGCTTTTTAGAAGCCTCCGATAATGACTCAAACACGTCCCTTCAACACCACGCATCATCTCATCTACCCTTCATCCTCGACCTCATCCACCTGATCATCCTCAAATCCATCCTCATCACCATTATCAATAATATGTTCATCATTATTCCAGTATTCCTCGTCCACACGAATGTCATTGCTTCTATCATGCACATCATTCCCATCAACATCCCCACTGTACTCTCCTTCTTCACCGTGCCAAATCCACACATGGTATTTAAGCCTAAACCCACAACAAATTACATGATCTCTAATGATTTCAACACTATTGACCACCTTCACATTATTACAATCAACACAAGGACAGTAGAGCCAATCGACACCCATTCTGCGCTGATAAGATGATTAAAACGGGAAAATTAAATGATTGCATTCGGACCTATAGCCAAATAATTTAAGGGTGCACAAGCTTATGCTTTCTTTCTGCTTGATATGATTACTTTCATAGGAAAGCCATAAAGTCATGGTGCTGCACAGCCTGCACTGTAGATCTGTAAAGGAAAAACTAAATAACTGCACTCGAACCTACAAGTATAACCCAATAATTTAAGGGTGAGCGTATGATTTCATTCTTCTTGATTTGACGACTTGGAAATGTTTATCACACCAAGAATGAGTTTGGAAAATTACTCACGCATTTGAATATCTGATTTATAGGTCAAATCTTGCATTACAAACCCTAACTTAAATAACTAATTAATTTGGTTAAACTTGTCAAGCTGCTAACTGAGTGAGCTAAAATTCTCCATCCGAGCCCATTTATATTACACCACTTACGGTTTATGCATTTCTACCTCAAGTTCAGCAAACTCAGTGAATACAATCAAGTACTTCAGCTGTCCCTAATTAAGAAACATTAAAATTTAGAATTCAAAGCACACCATCGTTGATTGTATATCTGTTGGAAATTACATTAAGTTACAATAATAATAATAATAATAATAATAATAATAATGATTGAACACATAAATCAAATGTGGCATATCTTTTAGGGATAGGAGTAAAGTGTAGGTATCAAAGCAAATCACTTCAAGGCTAAGGTTGTTGCTACAGTAAAAGTCAAAATTTTACCTGGAAATCTGTCCCCGTAAATACTTTCCCCAGCTGAACCTGCAATATACAGATGAAAAAAAAAATGTCAAGCCTGAGAACAAGAAAAGGCATACGATTAAATACAGCCAAATAAGAAATTTTTCTTTCATCCACAAACAAGAAATCAAGAGCCAAGAATTTGTTTATCCCAACTTTTATCAACTCATGTAATACTCAGTCAATAATATCACATGCCTAAATTACTGTCAAACTGGGGGCACTGACATTCAGGGATCACAACACAGGTGTAAAAGTTTATAAGCATTCAATACTACTCCCTCCATTTCATTTCAATTACACACTTACCTTTTCACAGTTACCAAGAGATGCATTTAAATTTTGGAGAGAAAAAAAAGTGAAAGTGACATAAAAGGTGTTATTTGTCAAAAAAAAAATGTGGGCCCCTATTCTAAAATTAGTAAATTATAACCGAGTAAATTAAAAGGAAACATTCAAAATAGGAAAGTGAGTAAATTATAAGAAATCGGAAGAAGTATAAAATAATACACGTGGAAATTTCTCAATGTATTCCAGTTTAAAAAAAATAAATAAAAAAAACAAGAACGGGTCAACTTATATTACAAATAGGTGGAAGAGAACACCTAGAAAGATAGTAGTATCATATGGACAAAAGGAGCTACTATGGTGCATATGATGGTAAAATTTGCAATCATAAAATGAAAAGGCACACATGAAAATTTCTCAATGTATTCCCTATCCTGCCATGAAATGAACTACATTTATCAAAATATTTCAGCCTCAGTCAGTCATAAAAAAGCATTTAAGTTCAGAGTTTAATCATGATACAGAAAGATCAAGTATGGAAACAGCACATACCCTCTTTTCTGAGGAGATCTCCACCCTACAGAATAGGAACAAAACATCAATTAATCATCAGAAAAGAATAATCTAGTATATAATCAGGCGCAAAGCAAATAACCTTTACTAAATCATGCTGGATAAAAAACATAGCAAATACAACCTTAAAACTACATCATTAGAAAAGCAGGTGTGACCATCAGCCCTATATCCTACAGCATAAACAACGATAACTCACCAATGAAACAGGAAGACCACTTCTAGCTCATGTTCAGGCAGAAAATCATAATAAAGAGAAGAATAAGAATACAATTAAGACTAAAGAGCACAGATCAAACCCAAGATACCTGAGCCATAAAACCCTTCACTATCCGATGGAAAAAGGTCCCTTTGTAGTGCAAGGGCTTCCTTAACTTGGGGCCAACTCCCTTCTCTCCTGGAAATTCAGAAAATTCTTTCATATTTAAAAGATTGAACGACTATATAATATCAAATATGATAACACCAAAAAAAAAAAAAAGAATATAATAAAACAGCAATTAAAAGATCCAAAGAAACAACACAAGCTATAAGAATGAGTGTACCATCACCACTAAAAGTCAACCCATGAACAACAATGAGAATGCATTATCTGTAATTCTTGTAAGTAACTGTATATACAAATTTGTTCACTTCGGAATATAGGCCTGAGTGGTGGATTTATAACATCACAAATTTCAATCTTCATAGAGGATACGCTATCAAAGAAAATCATGCATCACAAATTTCAATCTTCATAGAGGATACACTATCAATGAAAATCATGCAGATATTCAAAATAATACAAAAAGCACTCAAGCTACTATCATAACAACCGACCTCCCAATTACTAGTAAGAGCCCGGAAATTAAATGGCATAACAGTGGGGAGGCTCACCGCTTTATTAAGTTGTATAAACACGGAACAGACCAACAACCGCTAGTTGAATGACCTCCCATTTTCCAGCAATAACTATCAAATAAATGGCATAATGGAAAAGCTCACTGCTTTATATGGACGCATAAGTATAAAAAATAACCAAGACCAGTGAAACAACCGGCCACAATGCACCAAATTTTGAATTTAAAAAACAAAATAAAAAAACAAAACAAAAAAAGAGGTTGCAGTCGTACCATTTTGTGTTCACATTCATGGAATATATAAAAAGAATAGTTCTGGAAAAACCAATATCAAAGTTGCAATTTAAGAATCAACATAGACGACGAAGCAACAAGGGGGAAATAAAACACATTGTTATTACCTGTACATAACACACGAAAATTTTCTGCAGTCTTTGGAGCTGCATCAGTAAAGAGCTGTAGAAACAAAGCATTAAACATTAACATCTCTAGGTTTCAATAAAAGGTATAAAGAGAAAAAACATTGCGGGAAGCCATAAGCTCAAAATGCATCTCAAGAGAATCAAAAGGGAAAATGAAGTAGATAGACAACAGGGACATAGTCAGACATCAAATAGATAACAGCCATAACACCACCCCCTGTCAGCATTCAATTATGTTACATGCAAAATAATACCTCAAAAACCATCCTCTCAAATGGATCTCCATCAATAGACACATCCAAAAAAACAAATGGGTTTTTCTTCTTGGCCATATCTCCCTCTTGGTGCCTAAAAGTCAAGCCAGTTTTCCTGTTTTCTGTTGCAAAAGAGATAAAAACTCAAGAATCACAAAATGGAAGACATAAAATTTGAGCAACCTGGCAGATTAAAGAATCTCCTACACTAACTAAACAATAATTATATTGTAGCATATACACAAAAGAATATTCAACACAGCAAAAAAATGGCAAATATAATGCCAGCTTTTACCAAATTGGATTCTAAGTTTTAATACTCTTAAGTATCTGATACATAAGAAGTTTCATTCCCAAAACTCGTAGGGAAGCTTTATAGAGCAAAAAAAAACGAGGCAAACTGAGAATATAACAAAAGCCACAAAATTATAAGCTATTGACAAATGAAGCAGAAAGGCAAAATGTAAGAATATTGACACAACTTAGATTTCCCTTGGACTCTCAATGTTACACTAAGCAAGACAAATGCTTAATGTAAAAAAATAAAACGATTTTCTACCTAACGACACTTGGGGAAACCGTTTGAAAACAATATTGTAGCATCACTTGAGATACTTACATGCATGCTACAAAGAGATGTAATTTTACAATGAGAAAACAAGTTACAAACAAGTTACACTCAGCAAGACAAATACTTAATGGAAAACAGCACAACAATTTTCTACCTAACAGCACTTAGGGAAACCGTTTGGCAATAATTGAACTTGAGATACGTGCATGCATGCTACAAAGTGATGTGATTTTACAATGAGAAAGCAACACCGAGCACCAACTACCAAACTAAAAATGCCAAATCGTCTTCCTCCACCTTCAATACTACACAATGTGTGCCCACACATTCGCATTTTCCTCCTTTGTGAATGGAAAATTAAGCAGATTTTGCGCTAATGACGCAGTCAAAAACCAGAATGAGACTCAGATTTTTGCCGTAAAGTCCAGACTATTATGAGTTTATTCGTTACACCCCAAACACACCAAATTAAACCAAAAATATCAAAAAACTACAATTTCAGCTCATGAACACAACAGAAATCAACCAACAACGATAATTCCTACCCAACATCATACAAAAACCCCTGTACACATTTTGAACCACATCAATCGAAAAATTTACACCTATGCTACAAAAAAAATATTAAAACCAGACAAGCAAAAACATACCCATAATTCATCAAAATTAAATGAACCCTAAACCTTAAACCCCCAATACAATTCCACAATCGCAGAAATATCAGCTAAATCAGGCATTAATTAGCATCAAAATTTACAGCAGAACTATAAAATGGTGACAGAAATCGAAGCAATTTGAAGACAGAATATAGCAGAACATAAACCGATTAAACGAATGAGAAATCGAATATTAGCGAATTAAAGAACAAATCGATCAAAGGAAGAAAGGTAGAAGAAGAGATTAGAGAGAGAGAAAATTAGGGTTTAACCTGGAGAAGGTGAAGGAGCAGGCGGTTCAACAATGGCAGCTGCTGTTCCACCGTAATGAGAGAGAGAGAGTGTGCGTGAGTGATGGAGAGAGTGTGTGTATGTGCAAGAAGAATAACCTAGTGTCCACCTAAATTATTACTCTATTGGGATATATAGTATACTAGACTCAGACTAATTCGGATTCGAGTCACGTTAGATCGTGATCGGTTAATTTCTTTACAATTTACAAGTAGAGGGAAATTAGAAATTCCATTTGAATAGAGTGAGAATCGAACTCCTCTCAACGGGTGAAAAGAGGGTCTTCAACCACTAGGCGAATCTTGATTCTCAACTTTTAGTGTTAATTTGTTAAATCATAGAGAAACTAAAAAAATACAAGTATTTATAGGATAGAATACACACTAGAACACCATGTCTAAAGAGGTGTGAAATTTTCCAATTTTTTAAAATATGCTAAGAATATAATTGCTATGAAAACAAATAGTTCGGAAAAAAAAATACATCGAGTCCATATCGTCTATAATTTGATTTCAGTGCCTCGAAATCTTCCATTTATATGTGAATAATTGAATATATATTTATAGAGTACATACATAAAACATAAAGATAAAATTAAACCTAAAGAAAGTTATAGTATAACTCATTGGTGTTAAGTATATCAACTAGTAAAACCACCTATACAAGATTCACGAAAGCATATTGATAAGTGGAATGTTGTTCAATATTTGTCAAATAAACTATTGTTTGGTTGAAATTATGGTAATGTGTGATCATCATATAGCTTATTTATTGGAGCTTTCCTTGTAGACAAGCTCAAAGTCCCACTTGTAGCATGAGTAGATTTTAAATAAACAAATTAAGTACTTAATTGAAATTCAGCTTATTGAGCATTTCTAAGCTCAAATAAATTAATTGAACTATGGACATATTATTAATTGTTTCTCCTCAATTGTGTGCCTTAAAGTGTCATCCAATGATCCAAGAAGCAATAAGGCATGCTTAAAACTTGTGTATGAGATTAATAAATCATTGTTTATTTTTAGCGGTTTTAGTGTTCATATACATGAATTGATCATTCTCAAATATTAACATGGAATTTCTCAAAATAGGACTCTAAGGTATCTTGACTTTGTTTAATTTGCAATTCTTTTTCTAGCTTTGATCCTATTGTCCAAGATGTCCACTTAATATCACTGATTAATGAGGACCAAGAACACATGAGCTATGTTGTTTGCCAACAAATGCTGATTGTTATAAAATTGAATGTGTAACACCTTCTTCCCTCCTTTGTAAGCTTACGTAGATGGTTTAATGGTTGCCGCTTCAATAACGAACTCAACAAAGCGTTGGTTTATCAAAGTAAACTTTGCTTTGGTTGTCATATGTATTATTACGACAATCTAATTCCTTCAACATTAAGTTCTCGAGATGCTAAACACAAGCATTTACAAGGGAGGAGGAGAGGGATCGATACATTGAAAACACGTTGGTTACTCGAATTCGTTGATATTTTGCATAACCCCAAGACATGTTACCCTTGGAAACTATTGGCATCATGACACCCTTACACAATGGGGTTAGAATAAAATTAAAGTCAAGTAGAACTCACAACTCAGTGGCCACACAACCCCTTTGAAATTAAAGAGGACGAATTTATTCCCCAGGAAAAGAATTCTCTATGCTTCTTGTGCAGGAAAAAAAGACGCAAAGATGTTCCTTCACTAAGCAAACTTATAATTTGAACAAACCGCTTCCCACCGCTTTCTTTCTCCTAGGTTCTCTGTACCCACCGCTCACGCTTTCTCGCAGGTGAATTGGGTTAGCTAGGCCTCACCGCTTCCCTTTCGCCGGTGAGCCTCAACCCTCCTTTTGTACAGGGTCGCTAGGGTGTTCCTTCCACCGACAACCCCGATCTTTTCTAGGTGTTTCGTTCTCCTTTTCTTTGTTTACTACTAGTTCAGTTTTCCTTTTCCGTTCTTGGTTTTCCTTAAGTTGGGTTGTGCTATTTATATGCTCTTGTTTAGTTTTTGATAACTTGTTATTTTGTATGATTTTAGAGTGATTTTGAGCCTTAGAATTGTGAGAAATCAATGCCTTAGTTCACTAATTACTCTATTTTTTATGCATTTTTTGTGTATCATATGTTTCACGAGTTTACTAGTGTTTGGTGCATATTTAGGTATAAATATGGCACTTTGAAGCTTTTGGACAAAGAAGAAAAGAATTTGGAGACAAGAAGAGGAAATAAGGGAGCTATGGAAGAATGAAAGAAGCAAGGAAAAGTGTCCAAGAGAGAAATAAGAGCATTTGAAAGGGTTTTGGAAGGATTTTTTCACTAAGGTCAACTTCAAATGACCATAACTTTTTTTCTACTCAAGTTTTTGAAGTGATTCAAATTGGAGATTAAAGTTCATCTCAAGAGTTTTCCAACGACTAGTTACATGCCTTATTCCAATGAGTAATGAAGAAGTTATGACCTACCGAAACGAAGCTGTTTCGCCAGAAAAAGCTGCAAGTCCGTGCCAAGTGATGCACGTCCGTGCAAGGTCAGGCAGTAGCTACTATTCTCATTTTAATAGGTCTGCACGTCTGTGCCGACCTGTAGACGGGTCGATTCTTATTTTCTCCGTCCTTTTACTTGGGGGTTATATAATATTCCTTTAGCTTCATTTGTAAAAAAAAAATCAATAGTTTTTAACTTAGATTAAGGTTTTTAGAGAGAGAAAGTAAGAGAAACTTGTTGAAAGCTTGGATTATGAAGAATTGAAGAAAGGAGACTTGAAGATTTGAATACTCCTTGCAATATCAATGAGAATTTCTTACTCTCTCTCCTATTTTGTTATTTTATTTATTTATTTTTGTATCTTTTCATCCTTAATTACTTGTTCATGTTAAATTAGTGTTTGATTTCATGTTCTTAGTTGTTAATTCCTTTAGTTTTGTAATTTATTATGATTTGTGAGTAGTTCTTTTACTTGGGATGGTTGAAACCATTGATGAATTTACAAATACTTGTTTGTATGTGTTGATTTAGCTAATGTGGGATGTTAATTAGTTGAGCTTAAGTTGTTTCATTGTTAGTTCTTGTAAGTGGCCATTGCTAGAACTATTTATCTAAGGTTTCTCAACGAAGGATCGAGAGATGAACTTGAGTTAGCTCCCTTATGCTTAATTGACTTAAAATGCCATGAGAATAGGAATTTCTAGTCAAGGGAATGTTTATGTCATCGTGATTATGTTTCAACACTTGTTTTATACTTTGTAACCACGAGAGTAGGTTGTATTCATGATTCAAGTAATCCCTCTAGCTTGAGAGAGTAGTTGGGTGCCTTAGATGACTTCCCCTAATTTATCCCCTTAATTTACCTTGATTGTTGCATGCTATTGTGATTTGTGATGAGGTTGAGTGGTATAACCCGAGCCTTAGATTCCTCTTAATATCGTTAATCTCCTCTTAGCTTTAGTTGAATTGAACTAGTAGAAGTTACTCAAGATCAACCAATTCCGACTTCATTTAGCTTATTTAAACGGTAGTATCTCGGTGGTTGATTCAACGCCTCTCTTGGGTTCGACCCTTTCTTACCCTTGCTATTATTTAGTGAGACCAAGATAGGATTTTATATTTTGGTAGGATCGACGACGGCCTATCAGTTTCCTGTTCTTGTTTTTAATTCCTTTATTATATGCTCTTGTTTTCTCTCTCTGTTCATGGGTTAGTTTTTTTTTTCCTTTTCTCTGATCTTTTAATGTCTTTGTTAGATTTTGCCTCTTTTATTGATTTCTTTTTCTTGGGTTAGTTTTCCACTTTTAATAGAGTTATTGGAGTTTTATTTTGTTCAGTTCGAGAGGTTCTTCTTTTGATTTGTAGAAGACGTCGTTGAGTGGTTGTATTTGGTGGAGTTTCCTCCTCCTTGAGTTGTATGTTGTTTCTGTTTAGTTTTTTAGGTTCTTAGATTAGTTTTTTAAGTCTTAATATGGAGTTATTTCCATCCTTTATTTCTTTTCATCTTCCTGATGATTTCAATGATGAAAGTATTTTCCACCTTCTTTCCTCTATGGATAATCCTGGTGATGTTGTTGTTCGTTCCTCGGAGTTCAAAGAGCAAGGGAACTCCTTGTTTAAGGCTGGCAAATTTAAACTCGCCTTTTCTAAGTATGAGTTGGCTAGTAAGTTGTTGTGTTTTACTATGTCGTGTTCAGTGGAAGCTTTTTCTTCGTTTCGATCTTTGGCATTTGCTTTGCATCTCAATCTTGCAGCTTGTGCTTTGAAGCTTCTTGATTATTCTGCTGTTGTCAAGCTTTGTTCATTTGTGTTAGAGTTTGATTCCTGTCATATTAAGGCTCTTTATAGAAGAGCCTCTGCGTATCAAGAATTGGGCAAGCTTCGTTCCGCTAGAAAGGATCTAGTTAAGGCCACTAAGGGTGATCCTAATAATTTAGAGGTGTTAAGAAAATTATATTGTGTTGAGGGTTTGTTACAAGATGTGTCTTTGGTCGATCTGAAATAGAAGGGTAAGATGGTCCGGTTTGTTACCCAAGTGGAGTCGACTTCTCATGTTCCGATGATTGTCAGGTCAAAAGGGATTGTTGTATTGCGGATATGACTGCTCCGATTGCTGAATTTCCGTGTAGTGAGTTAAGTTCAGCTATTGTTTCGGAGCCGGTTTTATTGCCTGGTTCGTCTGGTGGTAATAAGGATTGTAATCTCTCACCACCGATTTCAGAGAGTGTTGATATGGAATGTGATTTCCAATTGGATTCAGTTAGTAATGACAGGAGTGGTAAGTATGTACCACCTTTTCGTCAGGAAGCTGAAGTCCCTCGTATGCATGAGTTTGTTTCTCGAAATGGTTTGAGATTATCGCTTCGGCTTTCTTCCTCAAATTTGCAGCAGGTTAAGCAAGGCAATGTCATTCGTTTCTACCATTCTAAGTCTATGTCGTTAATGTCTATTCGGGTTCGTCCGAGTAAAACTTCTATCCAGACAGAGGTCCCCCAAGATGTAACTTCTAGGGAAGCAGAGACCTCTACTTCTACTTCAGTTAAGTTTCCAGGTGGATTGGAGCAACAGGCGGTGTCCACTTCAGAGTTCCTGTCAGCTCCCATTTCGCAGTCCACTTATGCTCCTGTTTTGCAATCATATC